GGGTCGCGGCCCCCCGAGTCCAGCGTGCGTTTGCTGCAGACTGCCCGCCCGCCCAAGCCGCCCTGGGCTGGACGGCGAGGCAGCCGGGCGCGCACCGCAGATCCATGGATTGATTCATGCCCCTCGCCCAATTGGGGCGCGCCTGGTCTAATTTAGAGGCCGCCGCACGGGCCAATAGGCTCCAACCCGGGTTGCCTTCCCAGCACTCTGCAAGCGCCTTCCTCGCCGAGGATTTCTAGACACAAAGGACTGGCCGGCCAGACTTATACCTTTCACTTCGTCCCGTCTCCTCTTCCGCCGCCACCATCACCCTCGCACAAACCTGTGTGTTTCTTGCGGCAGCTCGCGCTCTGGGAGCCGTGTCGCGATCCCGCCGCCTGCGTCCCGGCTACTTTTCTCTGCATCCTCCTCTCGGTCATGTGACGGACTTGCCCAGACGCCCACGGTTCTCGCGCCCGCGCACCCCGAGGCGCAGCGGGCAACTGCGGTTGGTGAGTTGTCTCTTTTTGCTTCGACTCTTGCACTGTTCTTGGCCGAGTGATGTACCATGGTAAAAGGTCTGACGCAAAGACACCTTCTGGTTTCGCGGCAAACGGCTCAACCTCGCGGCGCTGCTGCAGCCGGACATCTGTCAGGCTGACCACGGCGGCGCCCTTGCTCTCTCGAATTTTCTTGCGCAACAGGCCTGCTCAGTGGCCCTGTTGGTCACGAGAGAGGAGACAATATGCAAATTTGCAGCCGCAACACGGAGTCCTGCGTCCGTTTGTGCAACGAGGCCGGACCAAAGGCTGCGGCGCACAGGCTTCGGCCTCGCCAACGCCGCGAAACCGCTGCGTTCTGCTTGAAGATTCAACGAAAAACTGAAAAGATCTGACGGCCATCGCGACTATCCATTTTTGCCATCACACCGGAGGGTTCTCACACTGACCTTGGACACAACTAGGCACGAGCTGCCGGCAGCCCCTTGTCCACAGCAGGCATCTCGATGCGTCTCTGCACCAGGCAAAGTTGTCTGGCTTATCCCTCCACAGCCTGATGACGGCATGCGAGAAAACTATTACACTCTGGTTGAATCGTATGACAGCCCTTTGACCCAGCATGTCAGGCAATGGCTGTTCGACCGCAACGGCCGGGACAGGAGGTCCGCCGCACTCTGTCGAGGGTGAGACCGGACGTGACAACTCAGCACCCTCAATCTCTCAAGCCTCATCGACGCCGGCAGTCGATTGCCCCCCGGGTTCTCGCGGAGTAAAGCACAAGGCGAAGCGGACTTCCAGAGCTAGGCTGATTGCCTCCTTGACCGGTGCTGACGCCGGCCGGAAATCCGCGCAAGTTTCGGAGGCTAGCCCTCAGGCCAGTGCAAAGCCTTCACTCGCAAAGCCAGACCTAGATAAAGAGGCCAGCAACGAAGATGGTGCGGTTGCTGTCGCCCAAGACTCCGCGCCAAGTCCAGTTTCTGATCCGAAATCGCCCCACTGGCAACCGACACCACCTCCATCCACAAGTCAACGCTCCGCCAGCGTGGCGTTGGAGGATCCAGAGCAATGCGCGGGACGCTCTGATGTCACGGTGGAAGTGGGTGCCGAGAAGCCGAATGCACCAGAAGCCCGTGGCTTCGATGCGTCCGCTTTCGATGCACTGATATACGGTCAACCATCAGCGTCCACGCCACCTCCAGGAGTGTTCGTATCCCATGCACAATTAAACCAATCTTCAAGCGAAGAGGAAAGGCTGTATATCCATGCGGATCCCAGGATTCACGGCATGCACAACCGGAGTGAGAAATGGCACGAAGCCAAAGCCAAGGAGATTCAAGAGCGCGGCAACCGCAAATACTGGTTCGGCAGGGTCGCCGAGAGGAGACGTTGGTTGAAGCGAGTGAACCGTGAAAAGGAACTTGCTCGCGAACATGGACTCCCTGGCACGGCTTCTGACCCAGAGCCATGGGGCTACAGCCGAGTGATCGACTTCGAAGATGTTCCCGAGTCACGTCTTCCCACTGACGTGCTGCGAAATCCTGACTGGTTAAAGGCTTGTACATGGTTTAGGGAAAACCGAGAGGCATGGGAACTGGCGGACAAGGATGAGGCCGCGCGACGACAGATGCAGCAGCGGCGCGCGACGGCCGCGAAATTAGCCGAGGAGGAGACGAACAGTCTCTACAAGGCCCTAGAACTAGCGAGCCCTCCTTACAGCCAGGCACGAGCGAAAGTCTGATGGGCCGCCGGACTGGATGTTCATGAGATGGAGGATGGCATTGATGACCCGTTATCATTGGGATAGGGCATAGCAGGGAAAAAAGGCGTTTTGCGACGGAGCGATGGGTTGCTGGAAGTATATCGGGCTGATTATCAACTTGGTTTGAGCGGGTATATCATTATTTCCCTTCGGTTGCAGCTGGCATATACATACATGGTCACGGCCTAGCGACGGGTGGACACGACGTCGATACGAAGCTGACGAATATATGATGACATTTGGGAGTCCATTTTATTGCAAGCATCTACCTTTTTGGGGGGAATCAACCAGACGCCTCCGACACAATGTACAGAAATTTCATCAACGCTCCGCTGCATGGTGGGGGTGGGACCGTCTCAAATACCCTTGGACAGCAGGTTGAGCGCGCTGCCGGCGAGGATGAAGCCGGCCTGGTCCTTGGTGACGGCGTGCTTGGTCGGGATGAGCACCTCGTCGGCGCCGGCGCGCTTGACGCGGAGGAAGACGTCGCCCTTGCCGCCGTTCTGCAGCATCTCGTACAGGCCGACGGTGCTGACCTCGTCGCCAGCCGAGATCTTGTCGTAGTCGGCCTCGTCGGCGAAGGTCAGGGGCACGACGCCCTGCTTCTTGAGGTTGGTCTCGTGGATGCGGGCAAAGGACTTTGTGAGGACGACGCGGGCGCCGAGGTAGCGGGGCTGGAGGGCGGCGTGCTCGCGGGCGGAGCCCTCGCCGTAGTTGTGCTCGGCGACGACGAGCCACTCCTGGCCGCGCTCCTTCCAGAGGGCGCCGAGGTCGGGGATGGTGTGCTTGCTGCCGTCGAGGTCGTAGGCGACGTTGACCTCGCCCGTCTCGGCGTTGACGGCCGTGTTGAGCGTGTTGGTGCTGATGTTGGGCAGGTGGCCCTTGTACTTGAGCCAGGGGCCGGCCGCCGAGATGGTGTCGGTGGTGCACTTGCCCGTGACCTTGACGAGGACGCGGAGCCCGCTGAGGTCGGACTGCGGGAAGGGATCGAATGGCTCGAGGAAGGCGAGGCGCTCCGACGAGGGGGAGATGGCGACCTGGACGCTCGGGTCGGCGTCTTGCGACAGGACACCGAGCGACGGGACGCCGGACTCGAAGGGCGTCTCGGGGCCTTCGAGGCCGTGGGGCGGGGAGAAGCGGAACTCCTTGCCGTCGGGGGTCTTGAGCGCGTCGGTCATGGGGTTGAACGTCGTCGAGCCGGCGAAAGCCATGGCCGTGACGATCTCGGGCGATGCGAGGAAGTTCATCGTCTCGGGGTTGCCGTCGTTGCGACCGCGGAAGTTGCGGTTGTACGATGTGAGAATGGCATTGGACGTGCCCTTTTCGACGCCGTCGTGTCGCTTCCACTGGCCGATGCAGGGACCACACGCGTTGGACAGCACGATGCCGCCGGCGCCCTCAAACGTCTCGAGGGTCCCGTCGCGCTCGAGGGTCGCGCGAATCTGCTCGCTGCCGGGGGTGATGTAGAAGTCGGCCGCCGGCTTGAGCCCAGCGCCGGCAGCCTCCTTGAGGAGACTCTCGACGCGCGTCATGTCCTCGTAGGAGCTGTTGGTGCAGCTGCCGATGAGGCCGGCAGAGAGCTTCTCGGGCCACTGCTGGTCCTTGACGACGTCCTTGAACTTGGACAGGGGTGTGGCCAGGTCTGGGGTGAAGGGTCCGTTGATGTGGGGCTCGAGCTCCGAGAGGTTGATCTTGATGACCTGGTCGTACTCGGCGCCCTTGTCGGCCTTGAACCGGAACTTGGCGTCCTCGGACGTGCCCGCCCCGGGGAAGCTCTGCAGGGTATTGATGTTTTCGACGGCCTGGGCGCGGCGGGTGGACCGGAGGTACCGCGCCGACGCCTCCGTGTAAGGGAAAATCGACGTCGTCGCGCCGACCTCGGCTCCCATGTTGCACACGGTTGACATGCCCGTCAGACTCAGGGTCTCGACACCAGGACCAAAATACTCAATAATAGAGCCCGTACCACCTCGGACAGTGAGCTCGCCGGCCAGACGTAGAATAATGTCCTTGGGTGCCACCCAATCGTTGAGTTTGCCCGTTAGCTCAACACCAAGCACCTTGGGAGCCTTCAACTCCCACGGCGCACCGACGAGAGCCTCAACTGCGTCTGCACCACCGACACCGATAGTAACAGTGCACATGCCTCCGGCATTGGGCGAATGACTGTCCGTTCCGAGCATCATGAGACCAGGAAGAGCGTAGTTCTCGAGGACGGTTTGGTGGATGATGCCGGCGCCGGGGGGCCAGAAGTCCATACCAAACTTGCGCGCCGCCGACTCCAGAAAGTCGAAAACCTCCTTATTTGTCTCGATACCGGCTGAAAGATCACTGTCCGCACCCTTGGAGCCTACAATCAAGTGATCGCAGTGGATGCTAGCAGGAATTGCTGGCCGCTCCAGGTTGCAGGACATGAACTGCAGCAGCGCCATCTGCGCAGACGCGTCCTGCATGTTGACGCGGTCGGGCTTGAGCCGCAGGTTCGCCTTGCCACGGATGCTGCGTCCATTGTCCGTATTGCTCAGCAGCGACTCCTCCACGTTATCGAGATGGCTGTAGAGGATCTTCTCGGCCAGCGTCAGCCGCTGGGCGCCGAGGACGCGCCGCACATCCGTGTACTTGTTGAAGAGCCGCTCGTACGTCGGCGGCAGGGACTTGACGCTCGAGAACTGTCGTGCCGCGGCTGTTGCGCAGACCGCGCGAGGGACGCTGGCGGCGCCGAGGCCGGAGCCGGCGACGCTGCTGGCGCGTCGGAGGATGCTCTGCAGGCGTTGTCAGCGCACCAATGCGTCGTCGTCGCGGAAAGTCAGAGGGTACTCACCGTCATGGCGCCTCCGGAGCGTCGGGCCAGTTCAATCGGGGCCATGTTGCTGCGCCGATGAGGTGTGATTCATCAAAGATCCCGAGGCGAGGGTCCAGGGAATTTTGGGACTTTGTTAATGCCCGCGGTCGGATTGGCTTTTGCCGGTGGCTCATTGGCGGAGGTGGGGCCGATGGTCGGCAAGTCAAAATTGTCGTGGCAGCTGAATGTGGAAAAGGCGTCACTGCCAGGCACGCTATTACCACCACACCAATGCTCTGATGGCCCTTTGAGTATATTATGGCTTCCATGCCTTGAAAATGTGACATCTATCTCATGTATATCCTTCCTTTCGTTCCTCTCGTTCCTCTCGTTCCTCTCGTTCCTTTCCTATCTACCGTTCCTTTCCTTCCTCTCGCTTCTACCCTACCTTTTCTTCCAGGCGAATCTACGGTGTCTGATATCTGCCGCATCTGTCATGTCTTTCGTAACATCTCAATTCATCGTGCCTCTTATTTCCCACATGTCATTTCATCTGCCGAGTCAGTCACAGCCACCATGCCTGCTGCGCCTACTATTTGTCCTCTCCTCTCGTGCGGGAGGTACTCATGGCAATAGTCGCGACAACAATGCTGCTGCCCTGAGGTTAAACTTGCCTCCCCATGCAGACAGTTCTCCCACCGCAATTCGGCGCCATCCACTGATGATCAGATTTGATTTCACCTTCACCAACAAGGCCATCGGCTTTTAGAGTGTGCATACTTGATGCGTCTCGCCTCTTCATATTCATATAAATCCCACAAGATATGATACACCCGCGTTGCAATCCACAGCCGTCAACTCCTTGTGCGTTACCCATTCGACATCGCATCTAAAAGACTGCCACCCCGTCCGCCTCTGCGAGCCACAGGGCAGACAGATCCTGGGAGAGGCCCAGCCGCAGCTTGCGCAGCACATCCTCTCCCTTGGTGTTGGCCGTCCATCCTTTCCTCCAGTCCCATCCTCGCTGAACTTTGCCTCCAGCCACGGACTTGTGAAGGTGGCTCGCCAGCATTGAGCTCCCGCTCATGACATAGCTGCTTCCGCTCAGCGAGCTTGTCGACTTCTTCATGAGGTCTGCGGGTGTGGATCCCTTGAGTCCTTGGCCGGACGACAAGACCAGGCTGAAGAACTCGTCGCACGTCTCGTAGATGCGCGACCCTACAGTTTGGATGTCTTCGATGGCCTTGAGCAAAATGTCGATTTGCTCCAGGGAGATGAGTGTCGGCGACTGCTTGACAAACACTGTGGCTTCACCCAGAAGGGCGAGCAAAAAGTCCTCACTCACGACGGCGTCCCGACTCTCGTCGTAAAGTCCGCCACGAATGTTATCGTCCGAGCTGGATATAACGGCAACAAGCGCGAATGCGGCTTGCTTCTTGAGCGTCATGGCCTTGCTGGGAGACGTTTCTTGGGCAGCACTGTCTCTGAGCTCGTAAAATTTGCGGAGAGTGGCGTAGCCGCTGAGCATTCGTCCCAGAAGCTGGGCTGCCTCAATGTCTTGCTGCGCGCGCTTCTCCAGGGTCTCTGTGCGCTTTCGAAGGAGGTTCTTGAGGTCCTCATCCAGGTCCTTCTCTGTCGGGTACGCCGTCGACTGCACCAACGAGTACGACATGAGAAGGTTGAGGACATCGCGGACTCGGTCCGTGCGGTGGGACAAGGCGTAGTACCAAAGAGCTTCGCCGTATCTGTGAGATTCTTTCGACAGGATTTCGGCAAATGTCTGCATTATCCATCGTCAGCGTTAGCTTTCAAGTGTGTTGGGCGTCTCATACCTCTGCGGTTTCTTCGGCAAACGTCATCATGCCGAGGTCGTTGAGGATCCGCCACATCTTGTCGACTGTCTCGCTCGAGTGCTCATCCAGGGTCGCCAACAGGTCCCTGAGCAGCTCACCCACCGTCTCCTCTGATTTCTGCGTCTGGTCCATGCGTCCAAGGACCTGAATAGCAATCTCCCATCCATCACGCTGTGACGACAGATGCTCGATACCGGCCAACTCCCTCGCATATAAGACCATGGTTGTGTCCTTGATGCCTTCAATGTCGTCGGTCGAAGGCGGCAGGACGCCCAAAAGGGCCAGGTCGTCCATGTCGAGCGTGTCCAAGGGCAGCGGCTTCGAGGTCTGGGTCGCGGGTAGCCACTGGCCAAGAGATGCAATCTCAGCCACAGATGTAGCTATGGGAAGCGACCACATCCTCAGGCATCCTATCACCGCGTTGACGTTTCCTTCGAATGCGGACGCTACGGCGACCTCGACGGGATTGATGGTGTTGGGGTTCATATCAGAATGTAGTACCGTGTGAAAGGCAGAGCTGAGTCGGTCAAAGTAGTCGCTAGCACTCGTGAATCGGGAGGCAGACGCGCCGAAGCTCGCTCTCAGGCCCTTTCGCTGGCCGTCGTCCCACCATCCGAACAGGCCAACAGTCGCCTCGCACCAGTCCTGTGCGGTGTCCATGATGGAATCTTGGTTGCCGAGGACGATACCATACACGACTTGCAGATTTTCATAGACGTCCCACGGGATCTGGCTCGAGGCTTTCCTCGCCATGGTCGACATGGACGATGCGCCTGGCAGGTTAGAGCCGGCACTTTGATTGTCCTTGCCCTCCGCAAAGAGGGTGAGGCGGTCCAGAGAGCCCCTGGCTTGCACTCGGAACAGGGTCCAGCTGCTGTTCCAAATGTCCCAATCGGACCTCATGCCGGGACACTGCTCCAGCATATCGCATGTGGCGTTTGCGTAGCGGCGGATGTTTTCGAGCGAGGGCCCGGTATAAGCGGCTTCCCCATGGGGTCCTCGGCGCACGTGTTCCCAGCCGGCATTTCTGAGCAACTGTGAGGCGCCACTGACATCGCCACGAAGGAGGGCGGATCGCAGCGTCTGCCAGTAAAGGCTGTGGCTTGCTGGACTGGGCTTGTACCGGTTAATCTCTCGAACCTGATCCGGGTAGAGATTGTGGCTGGTCTGGAGCCAGTCGAAGAGGATCTCCGGGAGCGGCGGTGTCTTTTCCTCCTCGGTATTGTCCTCGAATCTCGTGTGGTGCATGCGCAGAATTAGATGAGCAACGTACGCGGCCTTCTCAAACGGCTCGGCCTGCGAGCCGGGGCCGATGGTGACAAAGTCCTCGCCTTCGGGCTGTGGCAGGCCCTCGACGTAATCATTCCATAGCTTGACGAGGCGGCAAGTGATGTTGGCGAGGGAGTTGTCCATCTTCTCGGCGTCGTCTTCGGTTCCCACTCCCTCGTCGTAAAGTCGGCACACCAAGTCTTCCGTTTTGAGTATCACCCCTGCTGTCTCTGTCAGGTGTGCCGGCTCTTGGTTTGCGTAGAATTCTCTGGCAATCGATGCAAACTGAAACTCGCGGATAGAGCCACGGAGTGGAGCCGAGGAGCGTCGAAAGATGTCTTCAGCTTCCTTGCGAACGCGGTCCGTAGCCCCTGGGGTCTGGAGCATCAACAGATCGTCGCCCTCTCCAATGACAGGTTGTCCGTACGGTCGGTCGTCGTGTCGCATGTTAAGGAACATGTCGCCGTCGTCGGACGCCTCTTCTGACGCTTCCTCTGACTCGAGCTCTTCGTCCTCGTCGTACTCCTCGCCTTCGGCGTCGATGTCGCGCTCAAGTATCTGGTCCATTGCTGCGTCGATGTCATGTATCTCTGCTTGATTTCTTGAGCGACCGGACGGGCGAAATAAACTGCCGCGATGTGGAGGCAGCTCCTCGCCGGAAGCGTCCTCGTCCTCGTCTTCGTCCTCTTCAATGTCATCCTCGTCGGCGGTGAACTGTCTGCTCAGGCCCGAGGGCTGCCTCGCACCCCTCAGGGAGCGGCCTAGCGACGCAGAGGTGTCGTTTCGGCCAAACAGGTTCCTGCCCGAGCTCTGCGACTGGCCCCCCATGCCAAACGGCTTGCTCCCGGTTCCGCCCACGCCTCGCATGATGGAGCTGCCCAGATATGATTCTGAAGGCGCACCGGCGGGTGTAAAGGAGGCGTTGGAGGATGGAGGCGGGCCAGCCGGTGTCGTCGACGGGTTGTCGGCCATGAAGGAGAAGCCCGTCGCATTGTAGGATCGCCGGTCGGGCGTCGAGGGCGCCGCGTTGCCATCCGGGCTCGCGGGAGGGCTCGACTCGACGATGAACCGGTGCGCCATTGTGAGATTGGCCGAGCCTGATCGGAGCGCAGATGTGGCGGGACTGGCGCTACATGTAAAACGATAACGGGATGCGAAACGGCGTTTCCAGAAGCTTGAGCATGAAGCACGCGTCTCGAGCCTGGATATTTTTGAGCTGTCGCGCCGGTTGCCGTGGTTTTGCCGCTGGGATCCACTGCAGCTCTCTGCAGGGGGTTAGCTGCGGCTCAGGTGGTCCAGCCAACCGCTAGGAACCTACCACTGGAGCTGGCGGCTGGATCCGACAGCGAGGGGAAGCCACTGGAAGACGGAACTGCCGACCCCGGAACGCCAGGTCACCTGCAGCGCGCCAAAAACGTGCAGCGAGATAGGATGGGACTTGACATGAGGTGCAGCAGGTGCCCAACACCAGCTCGTGTAGATCGGTCACGACGGGCGGCGGTTGGGCGGCCGTTACGTGTACAGGAGGCCGACGCGGGAGGCCGAATCCCGAGCCTCCGAGTGCTTGGGAGGGAGAGCGCCATATCAGTCACGCCGAGGATTGCCTGAAACGCGGCGTTGGCGGGCTGGACTGCCGCCGTGGCCACCTCAAGGATGGGCAGCCACCAAGTGACCGCGCACCGCCGCTGGGCGCGCCGGCTCCACAGCGGGGTAGACGCTGGAGCTGGAGCAGCTCCAACGCGAACGGCGGCTTCGGCGATCGGAGTGTCGTCACGACTGCCAATGAACGTCACGGCCGGTGCGGGCAGCTCCCATTAACCTTTCGGACAATAAAACCCACGCCAGGCCCTGCACTGCCAACCTTTTACATCGACATTCCCGTCTGTCCAGCTGCTGCTATCCGACAAGATGGCCTCTACCGCAGGAAAGGTGAGCGGCCCGAGCTTTTTCGACCCCTCTGTGGACTGCCCGCCTTCGTCTTCACCCCGCATCGCCGGCCGTCTTCGTCCAAAACTGACCGCAGCAGACAATCACTTGCAAGGCTGCCGTCGCCTGGGAGGCCGGCAAGGAGCTGAGCATCGAGGATATCGAGGTCGCCCCTCCCAAGGCGCACGAGGTCCGCATTGAGATTTACTACACAGGCGTGTGCCACACGGGTGAGTGAGCCTCCTGGAGGAGCGCAGGGCCCGCGCCCGCGCACGCGATGAGCCGGTAGGGCCCGCGACAACGGCCTATAGGCCCCGCGTCGTCGGGCCGCGGCAGGAGAGGACATCGCTGACAAGACGCAGACGCGTACACGCTCTCCGGCAAGGACCCCGAGGGCGCGTTCCCCATTGTCCTGGGGCACGAGGGCGCCGGCATCGTCGAGTCGGTTGGCGAGGGCGTCACCAACGTGAAGCCCGGTGACCATGTGGTCGCACTCTAGTCCGTTCCCCCACCTCGGGAGACCCCCTCTCGTGAGGACGAATCGGCTAACAGAACCAGCACCCCCGAGTGCAAGGAGTGCAAGTTCTGCAAGTCGGGCAAGACGAACCTCTGCGGCAAGATCCGTGCCACCCAGGGCAAGGGCGTCATGCCCGACGGCACCTCGCGCTTCAAGTGCAAGGGCAAGGACCTCCTCCACTTCATGGGCACGTCGACCTTTTCCCAGTACACCGTCGTCGCCGACATCTCTGTCGTCGCCGTCCAGCCCGATGCCCCGATGGACCGCACCTGCCTGCTCGGCTGCGGCATCACCACGGGCTATGGTGCCGCCCGCGTGACCGCCAAGGTTGAGGAGGGCTCCAACATTGCCATCTTCGGTGCCGGCTGCGTCGGCCTGTCCGTGGTCCAGGGTGCCGTCATCAATAAGGCGGGCAAGATCATCGTCGTCGATGTCAACCCAGCCAAGGAAGAGTGGGCCAAGAAGTTTGGCGCGACCGACTTTGTAAACCCCAACGACCTCAAGGGCCAGACCATTGTCGAGAAGCTGATCGAGATGACCGACGGTGGCTGCGACTACACCTTTGACTGCACAGGCAACGTCAACGTCATGCGCGCCGCCCTTGAGGCCTGCCACAAGGGCTGGGGCGAGAGCATCATCATCGGCGTCGCCGCCGCCGGCCAGGAGATTGCCACCAGACGTAAGTCACACCCCTGTCGCGTCTGCATGCCCGGTTTCCTGCTAATGGATCAGCGTTCCAACTCGTCACCGGCCGCGTGTGGAAGGGCTGCGCCTTTGGAGGCATCAAGGGCCGCTCCCAGATGGAGGGCCTCGTCTCCGACTACCTCAGCGGCGCGCTCAAGGTGGATGAGTTCATCACTCACCGCAAGACGCTCGGTGAGATGAACGAAGCCTTTGAGACGATGAAGAGCGGCGACTGCATTCGTGCCGTCGTGGACATGCGAAAATTGTAGGTAGATGTAATGAATCTGAAGATGTAGAGGGGAAATCGAAATCGCGGGGTCTTATACTTTTGCTCGTCGACCTTGATGGCCACCGCCTCCACGCGGCGCCAATGACAATGGACACCGTGCTTCAACTCAAGCCGCACCGACTACCTGGGGCGTGTGCCAGCCGTAGCCCAACGTGACCAGAGGCAACAACACAAGGATCGTCATGATGGTTTGCCGCGGCCAACGGCGCCCGACCCGCGTGCCCATGCGTTCGTATTCTTCCGTCATAACGGCACGGGCGTAGCATCTGCAACCCCGTTCAGGTGGCCGGGACGACGCAGCATGTGAGAAGACAGCAAGAAAGGTGCCCCCTTGCAGGCCAATTTTGGCAGAATGCATACCATGTGCAGCTTTGATAAGCACGTCTCGCAAGTCACCGGCAGCAGCCAAGGAGGATGCGCGGTGGAGAGTCGCTGCGATTGTGACGCTGAATGCACTGCATTACAAACTGGACCGGCGTTGCAACACCACGTTGCACTCCATCTCTATTGCGTAGAGTGTTATCATGTCCTTGCTGAGGATGCCCGAGATCTCGACTGGGTATATATTGCGGAGATGAGTGGTAATGGCCGAAGCAACTATAGATTCCGTAAACCAACGACACCAAGAGAACTCTTGACGACAATGATTGACAACGGTTTTGCACGCTTCTGTCTCATCCTTAGCGTCCCTTTGGCACTAGTACTGCTAGTTGTTCGTCTTCCTGGAATTGAAAGACTTGTTTGGGTGCTCGCTTACACGCAACAGAAAGCATACGGTGTCTATCACAACCCCACGTCGCGGCTTCCGGGGCCGTGGCATACCAAGTGGACGAGCGCCGTGCTCGACTACCACTGGCTCAGGGGAACAAGGCCCCAATGGATTGATGGCTTGCACCAGCGCTATGGTAGGTTTTGTCCTGTATGTGGGTGAGTGCGCTGACCTTTGGCATAGGTCGCATCGTCCGCATCGCCCCCAAGGAGGTGGACATATGCGACGTTGACGCGGTGAAAACCATCTACACCGTTCGAGAAACGTTCCTCAAGCCCGTATGGTACCAGCACTTCACAACCTTTGGACTGGAAAACGTCTTCAACACCAACAATGTCGAGTTCCACAGGAGGCACCGCCGGCTCCTCAGCGGGCCCATCTCGGAGTCGTCCCTCCGCGAATACAGGCACCTGGTCGATGCTCGCTGCAGGCTCACCCTCCAGAGAATTAGGGAGGACATGAGGTCCAAGGGCGCGGCGGACCTGTTCAAGTGGTGGATGCTGTTTGCGACGGATGTCATTGGCGAAATGACTTTTGGAGAGTCATTCAAGACTCTAGAGCATGGAGAGGTGAGCTGCAACTACGCGCATGGCACCATCTGGCGCCAGTCTAACGATTGCAGAGAAACGACTACGTGCGCATGTTGGGGCAGACTGGCAACCTCGGCGTCGTGCGCTCCACGTTCCCGCTCCTCACCTCCATCGCCACCAAGATCCCGCTGCCATATTTCAGCAAAGCCGTGGGCTACTCCCGCACCCTGACTAAATACGCGGGCGAGTCGTTGGGCCGGTACAAAAAGGTGGTCGAGGCGACGCCCGAGCTCGCGCAGCAGACCCTCTTCACCAACCTGCTCAAGGCCAAGGAAGACGACAGGCTCACCTTTGAGGAGATGCGGAACGAGGCCGAGGTGTACATCATCGGCGGCAGCGACACCACGACCATTACGCTCACCTACCTCGTGTGGTCCGTGTGCCGCCACCCCTTGGTTCGGTCCGTCCTGCTCAAGGAGCTGGAGCTCTTGTCCGACGACTTTGACGAGCAGGATCTCAAGGACCTGCCGTACCTGAACCAGGTCATCAGCGAGACGCTTCGTCTGTATCCCGCAGTGCCGTCGGGCCTGCCTCGTCTGGTGCCGCCCGGTGGCGCCGAGCTGTGTGGCTATGCCTTGAACGAGGGCGTGTCCGTCGGCGCACAAGCGTACTCGATGCACAGAGACCCAGAGATATACCCGGATCCGCATGCCTTTAATCCTTCGAGATGGGCGTCGCCGACGCGCGCCATGAAAGACGCCTTCATGCCTTTTGGTAAAGGCGCCCGAGGTATGTCATGTAGACAAAAACAGACGGTCATAGATCACAAGCTGACGTTCAATCAGTGTGTATCGGGATGCACCTAGCGCAGCTGGAGCTCCGGCTCGCAACTGCTCGATTTTTCCTGGAATTTCCGGATGCAACGATGGCGTCGGTGGATGGCATGACGGACGAGGACATGGAGCAGGTCATTCATTTCCTGCTCGCGCCCAAGGGTAGACGATGCCTGGTGTATTCCGCGATTGGTGCATCTGGCTAGTTGTTGGCGCTTCAATCGCATGTTGAAAGAGAAAATCGATGACGCCGATAGTTGTCCTCATTTACGTAGATCTTCAGAATGTAAGCAAGCTCGCAGTGAAGCGCGGAAGAGGGAGTGAATGACCTCGGTGCTTATTGCTGCCGGCCGAAGGATTCGGCCCCCACAGCTGCCGTCAGACACGAACCGACATTAGTGCTCCAGCCCGGCCTATCAGCGGACCCCTATTAGCCAACCTGGGCAGGAGTCGCGTCGCGCGTAAATGGATTTCCATTTCGCCTCAACCGCACAACCACCACCACCGCACATCGCCATGCGGTCCTCACGGATTTCAAAGGACACGTCCAAACTCTTCGAGCGCGCCTCCGAAACCATCACGCCGCGGCGTGTCACGCGGTCCCTCTCCCGGTTCTCCTACGCCAGCGCCAGCGCCAGCGCCCCCGTCAAGAATGGCACCCCGGACATTGAAGATGCCGTGCTGCCCCCAGCGAAGCGACGCCGCGTCGACGACTCCCCCGTCGTCAAGGTCAAGGCCGAGCTCCTCGAGGAGACGCTGGCCGCGGTGCCGTCGCCGCCGAAGCTGAAGCCGAATCGCGACCGCAAACCCGCGCGGAAGACGACCGATCCGGACACGGGCGAGGCGACGGTCGCTCCGCCGTCCGACTGGGAGGAAATGTACAATGCCGTCAAGAAGATGCGCCAGCCGGGAGGCATAGCGCACGGCGCTGCGGTGGACACTATGGGATGCGAGCGGCTGGCCGACCGGAACGCCTCGCCCAAGGACCAGCGGTACCATACGCTCGTGGCGCTCATGCTGTCCAGCCAGACCAAGGACACGGTCAACGCCGTCGCCATGCAGAGGCTCAAGACCGAGCTGCCGGCACACAAGCCCGGGGCGCCGGTCGGCCTGAACCTCGACAACATGCTGGCCGTGGATCCCAAGCTCCTCAACGAGATGATATGGGCCGTTGGCTTCCACAACAACAAGACCAAGTACGCGTCCCTCCTCTGCTTCGACGCTATTCTTGCATAGCTAACGTGTCCACCCAGGTACCTTAAGCAAGCCGCCGTCATCCTCCGCGACAAATGGGACGGCGACATCCCCGACACAATCGAAGGCCTCACGTCCCTTCCCGGCGTCGGCCCCAAGATGGCCTACCTCTGCATGTCGGTCGCGTGGGACCGCACCGAGGGCATCGGCGTCGACGTGCACGTCCACCGCATCACCAACCTCTGGGGGTGGAACAAGACCAAGTCGCCCGAGGAGACGCGCCACGCCCTGCAGTCGTGGCTCCCGCGCGACAAGTGGCGCGAGATCAACTGGCTGCTCGTCGGCTTCGGCCAGGCCGTGTGCCTGCCCGTGGGCCGCCGCTGCGGCGACTGCGATCTCGGCGCCCAGGGGCTCTGCAAGGCCGCCGACCGCAAGAAGGTCGCCGAGGGCCGTAGGATAAAGGGGGAGGAGGTCAAGGTTGAGAAGATTGAGGTGCAGGAAGCGAGCGAGTTCTTTTGATTTGAAAGATGCGTTGCCTTGACATTCCGCAAGGGCATCACTAATGTACTACTATCCACTCAATACACTCAGCCAAATCCCAGTTTTGCTGGATTTTCTCTCTAAGCGTCAGGCACCGTTCGCAATGGCATTGCCTCCATTTCGCTCCGCCGACTTGGAAACTTTCTCCTTCCCCTTTCTAGCTTCATCAAGATTGCAATGACCGAGCATCAGGGTTGCAGAGCGTACGGAGCCAAGGTCCGGCATCCACTCTCTTGCTCGCCCCCGGGACTGGGTCGGACTTGGACCCTCCCAGCCACAACCCCTTTTCATGTCCCGACTCTGAGATTACGTCGCAGTCGCAAGTCCGGCACGTGTCATACCCAAGGCACTCGACGCTCCTGTCTAGAACTCCTTGGCAGCAGCACGCATCTTTATGCCCGTCAGCGCAGCCCGCAGTCCCCCACAGCCCTCTCATCTCTGTACGACGAGCACCACGCCACATGTGGCAACCCGTCCTCGCCCGCATTTCTCCATAGCGACGTCCCGGCCGGCCGGCTGCGTAGGCGCCCCTAATTCCCGATCCCATCCACGACCAGTCGGATGCGAGCCGCCTGTGAAAGCGCATGTATCACAAAAGCGATCTCAACATCGAATGCCGAAAGGGCGGCAGGCCAAACCACGGAAATCGCCGCGGGAGGCACAGCAAGTAATCCGTAGGCTGGGCCGGCTTCTCGGTGCTCGTGAGAAGAGCCGGTTCAGAGGTCGAGGCTCAGGGCGGGACGGACCGGGGTTCGGGGGTGGTGGTCATGAGGGGGCCGCCAGGGTGCTGCATTCATACCTGACGGGTGATGGCGATAGCGATGCCCGAGATGGGTGCGCGGGGGCGCGCGGGCGGACCGCAGTTGGCCTATTCGAGAGTTCCCGAGCCGTCGCCGATTCGAGAGTCACATTGTCGCCGAGGTCGCTTCGAGATGAGCTGGCACCTGTGACGGCGGATGCCCCGCGGCCTGGGATCGATGGTGCATCCCCGAGAGCCAACGCGATTCGGGGCCGTTCATTCAATCACAGGCATGCGGCACAGCGATGATTGTGGTAAGAGGGCAATCAATTCACAGGGCCCAGCTAGAGACCCCAGAAAGACAAGAAAAAAGGCATGCAAGACGAAATCAACCCAGTAGTAGTAGACCCTGTACGCCGCGCGACTTCCGCACTGCCCCTGACCCAACGTAGATTGGTGGTAGAAATGTACAACAAGAGGGGGCCCAATGCGCCTCTAGGCTCCCGTGGCCGCCGCGCCAACACCGGCTGACATGCCGGTCGCTCTCGGGCAAGGAAAAAGCAAAAAGTGGTTCATGTATTCGTCGGTTTCGTGAGGTTTGTGGTGGTAGAGTGTGTGGTTTGCCGCCGGGTGGGCGTTGGCGGCATGGCTGTGTTGTGTTGTTGGTGGTGGACCGCCGGCCCGGGCTGCTCGTGTGAGCAAGGCCGTTCTGGCGGTTGTAAGGACGGTTGCGTCGGGGACGTTGGGCCGTTAGACGCCACGGATGACCTGCGTGCGCTCGGATTGCAGCTGGGCTGCGTTGCGCTCGTGCGACTGCTTCTTGCACTGGAAAAAAGAGGACAGTTAGACTCCTGTCGCAAAAGAACACATCGAGAGAGGCGAGCTGTCACTTACGTCCTCGAGGCCGCTGCACTTGTGGTCCTCTAATAGGCGGTGGTTGCCGCAGTAGTGTCCCTTGCAGAAGCTGCAGTCGCCGACGATGCGCTGCGCGGGCTCCTTGCAGTCCTTTGCGTTGCAGCGGATCTTTTTGGGAGCCATGGCTGGAGTAGTGACGGTCGAGGAGGGTGGTGGTTGAGTGAGACGCGGGCGATGACGAGTCGAGCTGGCTGGCGTGGGTGCGATAACGGCGGCGTCGAGGCCGGACCGAGAGTGGAGGAGGGAGGAAGGAGAGAAGGGGTGGAGGAAACGCGGACGACGGCGAATTTATCGACGAAGCGGTCTGCGCAGATGGATGCAGCTGTGTTTGATGCTATCCAGGAGACGACAAAGATTCGGTTCAGCACGAGGGACGGACAGCAAGTCGGTGACAAAGACGTTCGTCAATGGGGATCCGGGAAGGCAGAGGAGGCGAGTGCGTCAGCGGAGGCGCCGGCGCTTTATAGGGAGGGAAGGCTGAACGGCACACGGACGAGGCGAGGCGGCCGGGCTGGGCTGGCTGGCTGGCGCTGGCGCTGGCGCTGGCGCAACGAACGGGGGTCGGGTGGCAGTTGGCTGAATCAGGACAGGCGGGCAGGCGCCAATGGACCCGTGGCCCCGGTGGAGATAGGGATCCAAGGGATCCATGACAGCAGCCCCCGGGGGCCCGTTCGCCTCCAGTGGAGGCCCTGCCCGGGCTCAGCACAAGCCCAACCTGGAACTGGAAGGGAGGAGGGGGGGGAGCCGCCGCCCGCGCCCGCGCCCGCGCAACCGCCGGTAGTGGTAGCGGTAGGCAGGCAGGCAAGACCACTCAGGTCACTCACTCACTGCTGACATGCCAAGGGGCGTTCACTGAGTAATGGATGGCGCGAAGTCGCCGGGCGGTCACGAGACTATCGAAGCGCCTGGAATCACGCCGCAGGTTCCCGTCCCCATTATTACCAAGGTAGGCAAGTAGGTTGATCGCCTCCTCCAGCTTTCTCCCCAACCTAGGTTCTTCCAAGGTTGTTGCTTGGAACCCGACCCGTGCAAGCCCGCCCGCCCGGCCGTCCGCGCGAGCGAGTGGCCGCCGCCGCCGCCGCCGACCAAAAAAGCCCAAGCACGCAACGAGCCTCGACCGGGCCAGACTTGCGCTGCTGCTGCTGCTGCTGCTGCTTGCTTGTGCTCGTTGCAAGAAGGAGCCCGCATGGACCGGACATTTGCACGAATGCCCGGTGCACACGACGGGATGAATCAGCAACCTACAGCAGGTGCGGCAGATGGCAGACCTTCTTAAATAAGGCGGTACCTTGGGCGTCGTCCAACGGTGAGCGAGAGCCAGCATGCAGGAGCTTTACCTCCAGGGATCCGGTGGTGGTGCTGGTGTCTGTTGCATGTGCGAGGTGCCGGTCGAGGTGCGAGTGAGTGGGCGCAAAGGTACGAGATGCCGCCATGTCCTCCCTTCACGCCCCGGCCAACGAGAGGTTTGCCCGCGTGCAGATTGTGCCCTGGTCATGCTCGTGCTCGTGCTCGGGGCCCGCCATGGCGTTGCGTTGCGTTGCGTTGCGTTGCGTCGAGCCGCCCTCGAGCAGTCCCGCGCTGGGCCATTCCGGGTACTCAACTCCCCCGGTCACCTCTCGTCCGTGATCCAGCATCAAGCGCTACTGTACTCCGGACACAAAGTACGAGTACGGGGCCGGTACTGCACTAGCGGGCACTCGACCGCCCCGGGGGATTGCGGTTGCGATACCACCAGGACCCCCCCCCCGAGGCTCGCGAGCTCCGAAAGCGGGTGGCGGTGACGTCGTGGCGCCCACCGGGGGCCCGGTGGAATGTCCTCGGGTCCAGCTCATCAGTAGCGCCGGCCCCAGGGCGTGATTCACCTCAGCCGGTGAGTGTGTCGTGTGTCTGTCTGTCCGCCTGTCGTGTCGTCGGTCGCCCGTCGTCCGTTCAGTCATCCGACGGCGGTGGAGGCCGACCCGGCCGGCGACCGTCCGATGCTGCCACGGGGGAATTGAAGGGCGCCCGCAACCGAGCGCGCGCCCCAAGCGAGAGAGGCCACGGCTCAGATTATAGATGATAGCATGACCGACGGACGGCTTGCCGCGTGCCGTCCGGCAACAGCACGACGAAACGGTGCGGCCGCATCTACCCACCGAGGCGGCAGATGAAGTGCTGGCAGACGGGCGGGTGTACGGATACCTTGGACTTATTATTATCTACAGGAGTGCTGTCCGTCAGTCGAAGAGGGTTACTCGTCGCATTTTGTTGGGCAACGCGCCGCCGCACTGGCGGTCAAGTCCAACCATCCAAGCCTGGCAAGCCATGGGTGCGCCCCCCGGCCACTGTGTTCGTTCGTCAACTCGTCGTCAACTCGACGTCGCCGTCCGTCTGCCGCGCCGGCAACCCTTGCGCAGAGGGGGCCAGGCAAGGCAGGCATTGAAAATCTCCTGCCGTGGCACGCCCCCTACACGCGCCGCAGCCGCACCTCGCGAGACAAAATCGCTGCGGATCTCGTCCCATCGACGGGCCCGCGGGGAGGGGGGGGGGGGGCTGCTGGCAGCACACTTAGGACTCAGGAGCTGGGCTTGCATGACGAGGCCCCGGAGCGGCGGCGGCGGCGATCCCGCCAAGCATGCCACTCAGCCCGCCCATGAAGCCACCACCGTCTGGTCTGAAAGGCACAGATAGTACTCCGCAGCGTGCAGTACCGCACTGTAGTCAGTACAATCCTCACAGCACGCCTCCGTACCGTCCTTGTCCTTATCTTGAGGGCCCTCTTTGCCCGTGGCTCAGGATGCCGTGACGGCGACGGGGTCCAGCCCGCGCCGAGTTTAGCAGCAGGTCAAGCATTGGCCGCGCCGTGTTCCAGGCTCGGGCGCTACGTATATGGTCCAGTAGTCACCCAACTGGCAAGCTCGGGCGGGAGCTGAGTTGAAGACATGACATGCTGGCCCCCGGCGGATGCGCGTCGACCCGCGATGGGCAAGGCCACGCGACCACCAAGGTCTCACCTTGCCGCGCAGCTGGGCCTCGTCTTTGGCCTCTGGCGCTGCGCTGGCGGCGCTGCGGGGCTCCATCGCGCCCGTCAGCCGCTGCTGAACGCTGAGGTGCCCGAGCACTTCTCACTGCTCAGGTGTGGTGCTGCGGGCCGGCCGGCAGAGGCTCGGCAGTTGGTGTGGAAGCGTCCCGTCTCGAATTTTGCCCACCGAAGCAGGGGGCCAGGCCGGAGACGGGAGTCGGCCGGCGCCTCATGGCCGTGTCGTGGCACATGTTTCTCACCTGTTTCGGCTGTCCGTCCCGGAGTGTCGCATTGCGCGGCCGCCGCATCGCTGCTGAACTTTCGCTCCTGCGCGTGCCGTCGCTTCCGGGCGAGCCAAGACTCCGGGATGACCGTCTCTCGTGGTCCGGGTTTATCAGTCACGCGTCGGTCTTCGTATTCGAGTCGCCGGCGAACGACCCTGGGTGTTGTCATCCGGTACGAGGAAGTGCAAGCACGGCATGAAAGGCTCATTTTCGCTCTGCTTCGTTGATGGGAGGAAAATGTCTTGGCGATGGGATTCAAACTCGTGAACAGGACGGACCGACAATTGCGAAGTTGTAGATGTCAAGGTTTGCTCTTCATGACACGGGACCGACACATGCCACGAACGCCACCCGCATAGATCAATGCACCAAGGGGCCGGCAACGCCAAACCAGAAGATGAAAAAAAGGACAGGTAACCTCCAATTGCTCTCCATGATCAATAAAAAAACGAGGTGCCTTGCGAGGGGACCCAAATCCACGAAGCAGCAATCGTCTTGAAGACGTGCTACCCTGCACAACGTGAGGAAAGCTGCAACCATCACCATCCGGACCCCAACATCAAGCGGGCGCCAGCTCCGCCAACAGAATGCATAAAATGCAAAAAAAACAAAGCTTGCCGTAACGAGGAATCGAACCTCGGTTTCCAGTGTTTCAACTGGGGTAGTCCACAAACTGATGTCCTAACCACTAGACGATTACGGCTAAACAAGCTTTGGGCATCTGCCACTTGACCACCATCCCCGAGAGGAGGTGGAAAAATGAAGACTTGCCGTAACGAGGAATCGAACCTCGGTTTCCAGTGTTTCAACTGGGTTGGTCCACAAACTGATGTCCTAACCACTAGACGATTACGGCTTATTGCGTCTTTGTTGAAGAACCGGGGGCTTATTTGTCCTTAAGTAGGTGTGGCTGTGGCTGTGGTGGGGCTGGCGTGCGCCCCGTGCGTGTGAGTGGTGGAGGGCCCTGCGTGGTGGTGTGTGGACCTGGATCCATCGCCTCGCTGTCACAAGCAATTGACCGTTGACAATGGAGAGGAGCCGGGCGCCATCGACAAGTTTCAAAGCAGCCGGGCGTCTCGTCTTTATACTGTGGCGCTCGGTGTTTGCTGTTAATAGTTTGCGCTGGCCGTCTTTTCTGCTTTCCAGATCCAGCGTATACTGTACTTCCGTGGATACAATGGTCCGCCTCGCGCGCACACTCGCCAGGCCTCACGCACTCACTCACTCACTCACTTCAACACCCCCTGGCCGCCTCCGCCCTCCCGCCCACGGCTTGCAGGCACCTTGCCTTTGGCGTCGCAACCGGCAACCTGCGCGACCCGTCCATGGCTAATGTCGCGTGCATAAATCCCCCCGTCCTGCTACCCCAGAGACGGAAGACGTTCCGCCGTGGTGGGCGCGATCCGCATGGATGCCTCGGCTGCGATGGGGACGCCACTGGAGCCAGACGGCACCACGCGCGGAACGCCCTCCGCTAGCTCCAAGTGCCCATGGGGAAGCCACCGGTACATATGGGTGTGCTCGAGCAGGCGCCGCGATGTCAGACCAGAAACGCGAGTCCTCATCCCGAGACCTGATACGAGGCCACGATGGAATCCTCTGGCGCAGACAAGGGCTTCTTTCAGAAGAAACCGGTCCTTCCGAACCAGTTTTACGACGATGCCTCGTTCCAGCGATGCTTCAAGTGTGAGTCGGCGTCGCCGGCTGGAGGCACTTACAAGCTGACGGGCTGACATCTCCTGCTAGTCTTCCTGCCCGCTAATGTGAGGGCCAAGAGCGAGGCCGACGTTGCCGCCCTGGGCCACGATGTCCTCACCGACCAGATTTTTGCGTGGGTTACCGATGCCGAACGTAATCAGCCGTACGTTCGAGGCAGCGGGCGCGATGTCTTTGGCCAGCGGGCTGGCGAGTTGATCTGCACCGAGGGATGGAGGGAACTCCAGAACTTTGGCATTACCAAAGGGTGGGCTTATCTCGGAAAGACCTAGAGTGCCTTAAAACACTAACAGGATGTCCAGATTGGTGGCTACTGGCTACGAAACTCCGTATGGAGCGTTCGCACGGCCTCTTCAGTTCCTCCGCTCGCACCTCTGGGTTGCTTCCTGTGCCAACGTCGGTTGCCCTTCTGCCATGCAGGATGGCGCCGCATGCCTGCTCAAGAAGCACCTCTCGAACCCCAAGCTCTCTGCTCAGCTGTCGTCTGAGCAGCGGAAGGTGTTTGAAGATGCCTACAAGCGACTTACGTCTCGAGACCCAGCTGTCGCCTGGACTAGCGGCCAGTGGATGACGGAGCGACCTGGAGGCAGCGACGTCTCCCGGACTGAGACGACTGCCGTTCATCAGCCCAGAAATGTCGGCCTTGCGTCCAAGCAGCAACAACTCCCGCTCGGACCCTGGAGCATCAACGGCTTCAAGTGGTTCTCCAGCGCAACCGACTCCCGCATGACGGTCCTGCTCGCACAGACCCAAAGTGGACTGTCCGCCTTCATGGCTCCCATGCGAAAGCACGATCCCACGGCTACAACCATGACGGGCCAGCCCCTTACCGACGGGGAGTGCCTCAACGGAGTGCAGATTTCGCGCCTCAAGAGCAAGTTTGGCACGCAGTCGCTTCCCACCGCAGAGCTTGTGCTGGAGGACATGCGCGGCTGGCTCGTCGGCCAAGAGGGCCGAGGTATCCACGAGATCACCGCCATTCTCAACTTGACGAGAATCCACTCGGCCATCAGCGCCGTCGGCAGCATCGGCCGTGGACTGGGCGTCGCGAGAGCTTACACGCTCGTGCGAGAGATCGGAGCTGGAAAGGGCGCACGCATCAGGCTGGTTCAGAGCTCCCTGCACATGCGAACCCTGGCCAAGATGACGGCAGAGTACCACGGCCTGATGCTTCTCAGTTTCTTCGCGTCGTACACTCTCGGAATCACGGAGCACCCCGGCGACAAGCCCGCTACGCCTGCCCTCGCTGCCCTCACACCCGATGCCAAGCTGGCTGAGCCGCTGTTGCGTGTGCTGACGCAACTCACCAAGGCCTACGTCTGCAAAGCTTCGATCCCGCTCATGTTTGCCTGCATGGAGGCTCTCGGCGGCGTGGGCTACCTGTGGAACGCCGAGGCCGAGTACATGAACCTCGGCCGCGTATTCCGCGACATGAGCGTCGGAGCCATCTGGGAGGGCACAACTGACGTGCTGTGCACGGACTTCGTCAGGGCGCTCAAGCATCCCAAGGGCGGCGCCGACTCCCTGGCGGCGTTGGAGGAGGTCATCAAGAAGGGGAGCGCGTTCCAGGGCAAGCTGCCAAAGCCGAGTGGCTGGGATCCCGTGTCGCAGTTCAACAAGCTCAAGGCGCGGTTCGGCGAGCCGCAGGCAGATCTCATGGGAGAGGGCAGGGAGCTCCTCTGGGGTGTGGCCGACAGTCTGGTCTCGGTGCTGCTGTATGTTGACGCCGCCACGGACGGCAACGCAGCGACTGCGGATATTTTGCATCGCTTCCTGGAAAGCAAGTTTGGCGTGGCGCGGACGCGGGGCAGTCCGAAGGAGGAACTGGACAAGGATCTGGCCATTGTGTATGGCACGGACGGAGTTGCGGCAAAGCTGTGATTCATTTCGGTCCTCTACGCATAGCAGTATCTACAGATTACTACGTCCAGTCGGATGTGTCATCCCATTTCTGTCCCCTGACCGTTCTACATACTACGTAACTGCAACTAGCCCTTGAGTCCCTGGCATGCTCTCTCGAGGTCCTTGGCCACGAACTGAACGATTGTGCAGTCCTTGGCAATGCCCTAGACCCTCTAGTCGGCTTTGCTCTAATCCAGGCAAGTATAAGGGTCCAGATCCCTCACCCGTTCAATGTCCTCGCAACGCGCCAACATCTACATACACTGCTCTCGATTTGGCGCATTCATTGATTCCAGGTTCGTGAATACAGCAACGAAACTAGAAGGCTTTCCTGATGGCTTCTGTCGCGGATGCATACTTGTTGTGTTCTGAGGAATGTGTCACCCTATTGTACTGTAATGTTTCGATGGAATGGGCGCCTCGGCGAGTGTCAAAACGAAGCCAATTACATGTATGGACGTCCTTACGCGCGGGCTTTGCAGTGCCTGCGCCTTGACAAGGAGAACGGCACGTGCCTGCCGCTGATGCTCGCTTCTGTCGCAGAGCACGTCGCGGGGCACCTTTCGGCCACGACAGGCTCGAGGACGCAAGCGCTGGGGTTGCTGGGGTTGCCCAGGAGGTGTCTCTTCGAAACGAAACGCCAGCAATGACCACCCTCTCCACTCAGTTCCTGAGGGGTTGCTGTGCAGGCGATACAAGCTGTTGACGCATCGCCATCTCAGCTATTTTTGATCTTATGCAGCGATAGAAGCTTAACTGTCTCCATGGTGTTCGCTCGGGCCTGTCCAAGTGAAGCGCGAGAGCATAAAAAGACTGGTCTGGGGCGTGGATTTTGAGTGCGGCATCACTACGATCCGGCATCGCTACAGCCCCAACACGGCAACACCCTTTTCAAGCCCAACGAGATGCGGCCTGTCTATGCTATTGCTGCTCTTCTCGTGCCGTCCGCCTCGGCTGATCTTCTTCTCGTGCCGTCCGTGTCGACGGGTCAAAGCCCCCGCCATGCCGATTGCAAGAACATCAGCAATCGATGCCACACTATAACTCCAAGTGTCGGACACGTGGTCCGAGCTATAACAGACGACGTCAAGGCCAAGCTTTCGGACACGGCAGTCTTTAAATCGGGTCAGCATATCGCCTGCTTCCAGCATGCATTCGGGCCAAACGGCAACTGCCTGTTCTTGGAGAATTGGCCCAAGGGAACACGCATTACTGGCGCCGAGGTCAAAGAGCTAGTCGGTGCTTTGTGGGAGGAATTAAGCACGTCCTCGGTTGGATGCGGCTGGGACGGACGTGTCCATTGCGGGAGATTTTGGAAAGAAACGTGGCCCCCGGGAGCAGTACTCAAGATCGACTACGTCACCAATTCATGCGAAGGGATCTGCTAGAGCCTGGGATATTGAGGTGGCGATCGGCCATGGCAGAGCCAGGTCGGGCGGATCTTCTTTGCAAGAGTCCTTTGATTATCTCGGGACCGAATATGCTACACTTGAAATTGAAAAAAAAAAATTGAAGTAGCGCCTAAAGATATGAGCCTGCAGAACCTCTGGTGCGAAACGAGGCGCGAGACCTGGAAACGGGGCGATACTGCTGTTTGCGGTGGGTTGGCAGGAGCGGAGGCAGAGGAATCACTGGCCTCGCCAGAAGGCGTGGATGACAGTTGCGACGTGGCGGGAGAGACGGTCGGTGAGAGAATCAAGATGAGAAGATTCAGAGGGAATTACCGGTAGTGACGGGCCGCACGGGGACGACACTCTGGGCTCTGGCCATCATGATGTCCGCCCGCGTTGCGGTCATGGTGGTGCCCGAGGTGCCCAGGTGCCCAGGTGGTCTACTATTAGTGCACACCATTCACTGAAGGAACGGGCCTAGGTTTGGGGCATCCATCCCGTGTAGGGCAGCTCCATGGGCACCCCGCATTGTGGCCTCAGCGCCGCAGGCACCGCACCGCAGGCCCGTCACCTCGCCGTCTCCGGCGGTGGGCCTCGAGCCCGATTGATGCCCTGAACGCCGCAACTGGCCGCGCCGTGCGCTCCCGCTCCATCTGCGCCCCAGCGTCCCTCCATCTCCAGCTCCAGGGCGGCTAGCCTGGGCGCCCGGCAAGTTAGTCATTCTTGCGTCCGCCCCTGGTCGTCATTGCTTGCCCAGGCGGATACTTGACCTCTTCAGGCCAGAGGAAGCGCATGCGTCGCCTCCAATTGACGACGGGACCACCAAATTCACGATTCTCTCAGCCCGCCCAACGACGCCCGCGTGCAATCCTTCACGGTGATAGCACCCGCGGAACAGACCGAGGACCCTGGGGCCGAGATCCTTTCTGCACGGCGCCGACCGAGTCCGACGGCTGACACTGACGAGCCGCGAGACGATATAAGTGCAGAGCTCGCGTGAACCTGCCTGCAGGCTCTCCCCAATCTGTCCGCTGCCACGCCCACGCCCACGCCCACATCCCCCCCGGTCGTGTCTCTGTACCACAGCAGCCGCCCATCATGGCCATGCCCAATGACGTATGGGAGGAAATCTCCCAGGACATTCCCTCCGCCACGGACCCCTTCGTCCAGCAGTACCTCGCCGGCCGCGCCAACCTCATCGACCAGGAGAAGACGACGCGCTCCGACGCCTCGTTCCGCAAGTCTCTGTCGCCCATCGCCCGGCGGGCCTGCGCCATCGTCGACCGCATCCGCGACCATGAGCACCGCACCGTCTGGACCCCGGACGTCGAGGAGGACATGGCCCAGGCGAGCGAGCAGTGCGTCTTCCCGGGCATGATGTTCATGATGGCCAAGGAGCGCATGGAGAGCACCAGGCTGTGGAAGATTGTTCGCACCATGCCCAAAGGCTGCCTCCTGCACGCCCACATGGACGCCATGGTCGAGTTTGACTACCTGCTCGACGAGCTCATGAAGCTACCCGGCATGCACATGGCCAGCGACCAGCCCTTGACCACCAAGGACGCCCGCGAGACCGCCGCGCTCAACTTCAGGTACCGCGCAAAGGAAAACGCCGAGGGCTCCGTCTGGGACGGCGGCTACTCTCCCAACACCTTCATCCGCCTTACCAAAGTAGCCGACGAGTTCCCCGACGGAGGGCGCCCGGGCTTCCTCAAATGGCTCAAGAGCCGCTGCACGCTCTCCCTCGACGACAGCCACCAGCAACACCACGGCATCGACGCCATCTGGAAAAAGTTTGCCAAGTGCTTCGTCGTCGTCGCCACCATAATTCACTATGAGCCCATGTTCCGCTCATATCTGCGCCAGCTCATGAAGCTGCTCAAAGCGGATGGCGTCAACTGGGCTGAGCTGAGGTACGTAGGCCGACAAGAGGAGCTTGTGTTGCACTCGTGATTCCTAACCGTGCATAGATTCACCTGGCCGCTCGACTACTGCCGAGACCAGCAAGAGACGCCCGAGCAGGACTACAGCCACATGTTCCAGGTGATCGAGCAGGAGGTCAAGCGCTTCAAGGCCTCCCCAGAGGGCCAGGGCTTCTGGGGCATCACGACCATCTGGACGACGCTGCGCAGCGTGTCGACCAGACCCATGATTGAAAACATGGACCACTGCATCACGACGAAGATGGAGTTTCCCCACCTGATTGCCGGCTACGATGTCGTCGGCCCGGAGGACTTTGGCAGGCCGCTGGTCGACCTGCTCCCCGAGCTGTTCTGGTTCCGCAAGCAGTGCTCGCAGGAAGGCGTCAACATCCCCTTCTTCTTCCACGCGGGCGAGACGCTCGGCGACGGCTCGGGCACCGACCAGAACCTGTACGATGCCATCCTGCTAGGCACGCGGCGCATCGGGCACGGCTTCAGCCTGTTCAAGCACCCGCTGCTCATCGACATGGTCAAGGAGAAGCGCATCCTCATCGAGTCGTGCCCCATCTCCAACGAGGTGCTGCGCCTGTGCGGCTCCGTCACGGCGCACCCGCTGCCCGCCCTGCTCGCCCGCGGCGTTGCCTGCTGCCTCTGCAACGACGACCCCGCCATGCTGGGCCAGGACACGGCCGGCATGTCCCACGACTTCTGGCAGGCGCTGCAGGGCTGGGACAACCTCGGGCTCGCCGGCCTGGGCAGCCTGGCGGAGAACAGCGTCCGCTGGGCGGCGTTCGAGGACGAGGACGCCGCGGCCTGGGTCAAGGGCGTGCGTGAGGCGAGCGTCGGGGGCGGCCTCAAGGCGCAGCGCATGAAGGAGTGGCAGGTCGAGTGGGAAAAGTTTTGCCTCTGGATCGTGACCGAGTTCGGTGACGAGTTCGACCCGGAGGGCGAGGAGGCAGAGGCCCAGGTTGCTGCCTAGAGCGCCGTTCGGCTGCGCGTTGCGGGCAGATGGGCAGGCAGGGCGGCGGCACATGTTTGTTCAACACATGGTCTGAAGTAGCACGACGTGATATGGAGCAAAAGGGTATACATATACAGCGATGCCGCCGCGGTAGTAGCAGCAGCTGCATATTCAACACCTCACAGCTTGGGGGAAGCGAGCGGGCTGGCTTACACGCGTGCGTGGGTACGTGCAGAAATAGGGCCGCAGACGGGCATCGCCAGATACGACCCCCCTGATCGAAGGCGAGTTAGAAAAACACGATCTAGACGTGCCGTATCTAGAAGGACGGGTACCTTCCATGTTGCATCGAACGCCAAAGTGAGATGGTCTCGCTAACGTGAGATTGGACCGACACGACAGCCCGGGGGGAAGAAACAGAAGGGTGGGCTTATTATTAGTGTCGCCGCCGTCGCTGCTGGTAGTGGTTGTTACTACTACCGCTGCTGCTGCTGCTGATGCTGATGCTCAGCCTGCCCGCCGCCGCCCCAGCCCTTACCTTACACCTTATATATACATACACCTCTGGGGGGTTCGAACGGACCCCCGGCCCCCCCAACCCCCATGGCTGCTTATGTACCTCTGGCGATGCAACGAACGTCGATGCCGGGAGGGGGTCCCCCTTCGCAGAGCCTCAGCCCGCCCAAACATGGCCTCCCCCGGTTCGATCCCCGGGGCCCGGGGCCGTTGACGCGCCTCGTCTCGCGGCCCAACAGCAAGGTCCCATGCTTGCCCACCCTCACGCCACGCCGCACGAACAACTCATATTTCATGTTTTATCCCACAAAGAAGAATTGTGAACTTGTTTGCATTGTTGCAGATATTCGAGAATAAGAAAGTGCTATAAAATGGGGGGTATTTAGGGGGAAATCCAGAAAAGCAAAAGCAAAGCAGAAACAGGTTAGTAGGTTGTTAGATCCGTATACGCCACAACGCCGGCTTGAAATCAAGCTTTCTCATGCCTTTTTTTAAAAGCCGTAAACTCCCCGTTGAATGACTTGTTGCCGTTTGTTTCCCTGCACATCTTTGTGTCCTCTCCCCTCCTGTTACCTGGTCTCGTTACCCGTTCCTGTAACCCGGTACGCCGCCCGGGCATGCCTATCCGAACTAAGCACGAACATCACATCGACTGGCACACAGTGACCAGCCACTGGTTCAGGCGCAGAGGCTGCATCTCAATGTGGTCGCTGTGGTCGATGGCCTCGTTGAGGTTGGCGCGGCTAAAATCGTAACGGCCAAGGGCCGTGGCCACCAGGCGCTGGTAGTAGGCGGCGCGGTCCGTGTCGCCGTTGTGGGCGTGGTATGCGACGAGTTGGCGAAGCTCAGACACGGAGCGCACCTGGTGGTTGAATACGACTGCCTCGTCGTCAGTCAGACGTCGGCTAGGGAAGGGGGAACACAGGCTGGACTACCATTGCGGGCCATGCTGCAGGTGTCGACGAGCTCGCGCACCGTCATGCGGTCGCCGCGCATGGTAAACTCGTGCGGCCAGCGCTCGGGGCCGAGATCGACGGCGGCGACGACAAAGCGGGCCACGTCGTAAATGCTCGACATGCAAACGCGGACGGAGCGGCCCTTGGGATCGCGATCCGGGTACTCGGCGGTCGCGCTCGAGATGTCGACGAGAAAGTCGGCTGGGCGGTCGGCGGCGGCGTTCCGCCCGGCCTCGAAATAGCCCAGCCCGCACGGATGCAGCCGCTCCATGAACATGCCGCACGAGAAGACCGTGTAGCGCATCCGCGACTGGGAGGCCAGCTGGCGCAGCAAGGCGAGGCAGTTGGCTGAGGCGCGATCCGTGGGAAGCGCGCAGTGGGAGGAGTCGGATGAAGATGAGGATGACGAGGACGAAGATGGCCGGCGAGACAAGCTCCCCTCGAACTCGGCGGGCACAAAGGTGCGCACGCGGCTGCGCGCGGCGGCCTGGATGAGGTTCATCTGTGGGCGGCCCGTCACCGTCGACAGGACCAGGTCGACGCCCTGCAGCGCAAACGCGAGGCTCGCCAGGTCGCCATAGTCGACTACCTGGACAGCGATGCCGAAAGGCTGGAACTCGGGCCTGGCCTAGTGGAGGTCAGTGAATCCCGCATACGCGCCATCAAGCGATACGAACTACAAAACTGTTGGGCTGCAGGGGCGCCTCGAGGCTCAGAGGAGGGGGAAGGCCGGGAGGCGGGGGAGGGAGACGCACAAAGCGGGAGAGCACGACGACGTTGTAGGCGTTTGCCGCCTGCGAGAGCTGTGACGCCAGCAGGTATCCCAGGCCGCCTCCGCCAGCAACGGCGATTCGCATCATGGCGGGGGGGCGCGGCGGCGGGTGCGCACCATGGGGAGACTGCCAGGGATGGTGCCTTTGGTCGTTGATGCGCTGCGTCTGCCCGTCTGCCCGTCCGTCCTTCTGTCCGTCGTGTCGCTCGAGCGTCGGGTATGGTGCCAGGTGTTTCTGCGTCTGCCCGTCTGTCTGTTCTGTCCGTCCGCGCGCCCGACTCTCTTTTTTCTGCGCCTGTCCGTTGGCCGGCACCGACCAGAGGAACAATCGCAATTCAGGACCCGATGGTTGATGCCTGCCGTGCGCTGTTTTCGCTGCTGCTCGCAAGCCTGCCGACGCAGAAAAAAAAAGAGGGCGAGCAGAAAATCGAGCGGGAGCGAGTGAGAGAAACAGAGTCGTGTGCTTCCGGGCCGAGAAACAAGACACACACACGCCCACGAGACGAGCAAACGTCAAGCATGTATAGATTTATATATAAAACGGCCCGCGGGGCGAGGGACGGAGGGACCCCCCTCGGTCAAGGTGTCCCTCCCCCCCCATGCCCCCATGTCTGCCGCGTCGACTCGACGTTGCATTCGACAGCACTAAGCAAATTACCGGCGAATGCGCAAAACGGTTCGAGCATGGCATGGCATGGCATGGCGTGGCATGTCATGTCGTGACATGGCGGGCGCAGGGCAGGTCGACAAGGCCGGGCGGCTCCTTCTTCCTGGTTCTGTGCTGTTGCTTGCCCTGGCTGTATTCCGTAGCTGCCTTACCTTGATCCTCGATCAAAGTGCAGAGTACGTTGCTGTACATGCCGCTCTCGCCGCGTTTCGCATCTGGCCGAGGTACCTGTTTGGCCCGGTACCTGGTCCTGCCCTCTCCTGCCTTCAACGCCCGTCTCTCCTGCCCTCTCTCGCTCCTTGCTCCTTGCTCGTTGCTCCTTCCCCGTCGTGTGATTCAGTCGCTCCTTCCTTTGCCGTCCCTCCGTGTCTCCACCGAGCTGCCAACACGTCTCCTCCTCGTCGTCTCCTTGAGGTATGTCCTCCGCAGCCTCCCGCCTTCGCCTTCGGCAGCTCCTCTTTTTCCTTGCCTCGCCTCCTCCTCCCGCTGCTCCTCTCCCTCCTCCACCACAAGACTCGCAATCACCCGTGGATATGGAGACACCCACACCCCGGCCCATATCCTGCACTACCCGCTGCAGCACCTGCCGCACCACCCCGATGCCATGCGTGTCCCACCACCCCCGTCGTTCCCGGCTCGTCTGTGCCCTCGGCCCACGCCTTGGTCCGACTGCCTTGCCTTGCAGCCTCCATCGCGACCTCGGGATCTCGAACTTGCTCCCCATCCATGCCGTCCTATCCTGCCTTGCAGCGCCACCTTCGATAAGCGGTCGGCTGTTCCTGCCGATGAAGACAAGGCGATGCAAGACAGCTCGAAACGAGACAAGACAGGACGGGCCCTCCACCCCTGGTTGGGGCCCGCCCGCTAACGAGACTAGGTAGCTGGGGCCGCCGCCGCCATCGATCCAGACTTAGGCGCAACACAGCACCGTGGCGCGCCTCCAGCGGTCGGTCTAGGGACGGGCCAGGGCACCGCGCGATGTGGCTTTTCTTTCCCCCTTGCTCCATCTCCCCATCTTGCCCCCCTCCCCCACTCGTGGGACCACACACTGTTCCGCACCCTCAGGTGCGCGCGAGGGGCCCGAGGCGCGCTAACTCACTGCAGTACCAAGGCCAAAGCCGAGCAGGAGAGACACACATGCATGTCGCGCTGGCTTTCTGCACGCGATAACAGGCTCGCGGCTCAAGACGCGGCTCTTCAGCCCGTCATCACCTGCCGACGAATCGGCGCGGAGAGCTCGCCTTGTCGTTCCGGCGCACACGCTTGGTCAGCACGTATTTGGTCCTCGTTCATCTCGCACCCGCTTAGATGCTCCCGCCCGTCTCACGCAGGACCGAGCGACACGCCTCGTATCACCCCAGTGTGCGCGCATGCGCTCTACACCGGCCCCGCGCTGCCGGGCGCCGACGGCTCGGGGAATGCAACCGCGCGTGCGTGCGTTGTCGCTATGCGAGCTCATCGTGTAATACTCAGGACCTGATGTCACCCCTGGCAGCAGGTGGGTGGAATAGAGACGAGGAGCAACGCGACAACCTACTATATCCTCGGCCAATGACATTCCTCAGCTTCGGCCTTCTACCCGTCAGACAGCTTCAAAACCAAAGACTCACGGGAGTCAAAGTTGTATTCGGCTGAGGCTGAGGTTCGCCGAACGTCGATCGCCGCCTCAAATGGCCCTGTTCCCATCACCCGTAAGGCACACACACCACAAGTCGGGCTGTCCCGATCATGTGCGTACAACAATCAGCGTCGGCGCCCAGCTCGGCAAACGCTTTGCCAACTGAAACTGCCGCGTTCCTGTCCCTGCCTCGCCCTGCATCACCACGTTGGTCGCCCCCGGACCGTGTTCCTGGACCCTGGGTCTCGTTGCCATCGATGTGCGCTCATGCAGTACGCCCTGGGGCCTGACAGGACCCTGAGCAAGGCTAACGCAGGTGCATGCGAATCAGCGTCCCGCTTCGTTTGACTGCGAGCCTCCCGACAGAGACGATTCATCGACATTGGTGTTGGGGGCCAAACCCGCCAACCCACCCCCAGCGGCGAACAGTGTGGCGGAGCCCGGCATTTGCCTCGTAGGGCTGAAGGATGCCTTGGACAGCCTAACTGGGCGCTTAAATCAACGGCTCTGGATCGAATGAGATCTGTTCCCCGGGTTATGCTTGGCCGGCCCCCTAACCCCCATCAGCGGCCATCTACACCGCCATGTGGCTTCAACTAAGCCTTGCGACATGAAACGCGCTGTCGGTTTATCCAAGCCGGTAATTTGTCTTCAGTCCTTCTAACTTAGACTGAGGTCTATGTAAATGCTACCCTATGCCTGCAGCGCCGCCTCTTCCCTCGCCGCTCCGCTTCCTTTACGCCAGCCTTCTGTAGGGTCGAGCCGCCTCTTCGCCACACTCTCTTCGCCGCGCCGACCCCAGCCTCCACCGCCCGGTGTACATACAATGATACGGTCTCCAGCCTTCATCGCCGCGCTATTCTTGGCTCCCAGGTTGATTTGCCGCTCCTCATACTCCTTGTCTCCGTCGTCCTCCTTGCCGCCGTTGTCGTGGAACTGTGCTAGGGACCTATCCCAGTTGGACTTTTCGACATTGCGGACCCAGAGATTCAGGCCGCATGCGCCGTCCTCGCCCCCGTTGAGCCCGTACGGGTGATAAACTCTGCGTTCGCTGAGAATGGACACCTGGAGCGGGATGCGGAACTCGATGTCGCGGATGACGCCGTTGCCACCCCGGTGCTGACCGGCGCCGCCGGAGCCCTCCCTGATGGAAAACTCGCGCAGCAGGACCGGGTATCGTCGCTCGAAGATCTCCGAGTCGGTGATGCGCGTGTTCGTCATGTGGACGTGCACGCCCGACGTCCCCTCCCAGTCTGGGCCAGCTCCGCTGCCACCGGCAATCGTTTCGTAGTATCCGAAGCCCTTGACCGCCTCTGACCCTGACTGATTGCCACCGAAGCCAAACGTCAGGTTGTTGCAGCAGCCTTGGCTAGCCGCGCAGGCCTGGAACGCCTTGAAGATGACGTCCGTGATGCGCTGGCTCGTCAGGACGTTGCCGCCAACCACGGCGGCTCCCGGAGACGGGGACAAGATCGACTTGGGTGGGATCTTGACGTTGATCGGCTTTAGGCACCCCTGGTTCAGCGGGATATCCTCGGACACGAGGCATCGCAGGCAGTAGATGATGGCGCTGTAGGTAATGGCCTGCGGCGCATTGATGTTGCCATACACCTCCGGGCCAGTGCCCTCAAAGTCGAACTCTGCGCTGCCGTTTTCAGGATCGATACGGATCTTGAGCTGGATAGGGGAGCCGTCGTCCATGTGGTCTATTGCCGACAGATCTCTGCCCTCGAACCGCTTGTGAACGTCTTTGAGAAGCCGGCGCACAGATTTCTCGGCGTTGTCCTGGATGTTGACCATGTAGAACTGGACAGTCTCCTCTCCATACTCCTCGATGAGGCCCTCAATGAGGGAAATGCCCTTTTGGTTGGCCGAGACTTGGGCGCGGAGGTCGTTGATGTTGTCCGCCAGACAACGCGTGCCGCTGCAGCCGGGGTACTTGGCCGGCTCGTCGTAAAATAGCTCGACGACACGCTTCTCGTTGAACTTGCCGCCGCTGACCAGCTTCTCGCTGCGGATGGACGCGCCCTCCTGGAACAGCTCCCTCGAGTGGGGCGGCATGCTGCCGGCCGTGATGCCGCCAATGTCGGCGTGGTGCGCCCTCGACGCGGCATAGAAGAGGATCTTGTCGCCCTTGTCGTCAAAGGCAGGCATGACGAGCGTCACATCCGGCAGATGCGTGCCGCCGTACGCGGGGTGGTTCGCGATGATGACGTCGCCTTTCTCGAGCTTGCCCTTCCAGATCTCGGCCTGGCGCTTGACGCACGTTGACATGGAGCCGAGATGCACCGGCAGATGCGGGGCGTTGGCGACGAGGTCGCCCTTTGCGTCGAAGATGGCGCACGAGAAGTCGAGGCGCTCCTTGACGTTTGTACTGACGCTCGTCTTTTGCAGGGCGCGGCCCATTTGCTCGGCGATGGCCATGAAGCGGTGGCCGAAGATGGACAGCATGATGGGATCGACCTCGCGTACCCCGTTTTGCGGTCTAGTTTTGTCAGAAATGGCGTGATGTGGAAATGGGGATCGGGAGGGGAACATACTCGCTCTTGGTCTCGTGCTCGATGTCCAGCACGACGTGCGTCTCGGTGATGAGGGCCTTGGCCTTGGGTGTCACGACAATCGTCTGGGTCCCATCGGCCAGCATAGCAGGGCCGTTCAGGACGTCTCCGACCGCGAGGTCCTCGAGCTTGTATATGGGCGTCTTGTGCCGTCCCCCTTCAAAGTAGACCTCTTTGGTGCCATGCGTCTTGCCGTCCGCCACGGCCTGTCGTTTTATCGTCTTGAGCTGCTGATCCACCGTCTTATCCTTGTGCCTGAAGCTCTTTCCGATGCCCCTCACGCGCACATCGTCGACAATAATGTCCCTCTCGTCCAGAGTGAAGCCAAACTCGTACCGGTGGTGCCTGACAAAGGCCTTGCCAAACTCCCAGTCCTTGCCGCCAAAGTGCTCCGCGGCCTCCTCGGGCGAGGGCTTGACGATCATGAGGGCCGACTCGGTGCCGCGGTACCGCATGTTGAGGTACTCCTGGAAGACAATCTCGTCGTCCTTGAAGCCCTGGTCCTTGAGGGCGGCGCGCGAGCCGTCCTTGAGCTTCTCCATCTTGCTCTGCAGCTGGCCGACGACGGCGCCGCCGTCCTCCCAGACGGACGAGTCGGGCTCCTGGCGCTCGTCGACGACGTCGGCCAGGGCCATGCCGTAGGCGGACAGCACCGACGAGTAGCGGTGGATGAGGATCTGGTGGATGCCGAGCGAGTCGGCGATGGCCACGGCGTGCTGCCCGCCGGCGCCGCCAAACGTCGCGAGGCGGTGCTTGGAGGAGTCGTGGCCCTTGGCCTCGGTGATGGACCGGATCGGCCGCGTCATGGTCTCGTTGGCGACGGTCAGGAAGCCGTACGCGACCTCGTCCACGCTCAGGTTCTTGCCTGTCTCCTTGTTGACCTGGTCCGTGAGCTCCTGGAGCACCTTTTTGCTGGCCTCGGCGTCCAGGCCCTCGTCCTCGTTCTTGCCGAAGATCTTGGGGAAGAACTCGGGCAGCAGCCGGCCTAGGTACAAGTTCGCGTCGGTGACGGTCGCGGGGCCGCCTTTCCGGTAGCAGGCGGGGCCCGGGTGCGCGCCGGCAGACTCGGGGCCGACGGCGAAGAGGCCGTTGCGGAAGAAGAGGCGCGAGCCGCCGCCAGCTGCGACGGTGTTGATGTCCAGCTGAGGGGACTGGATCGTGACGCCAGCAGTCGTCGTCTCGAAGACGTGCTCGTAGCGCCCGTCGCCGTACCGCGACACGTCGGTGCTCGTGCCGCCCATGTCGAACCCAATAACGGGAACCTTGGTCTCCTCGTCGTACGAGGTGATGGCGTAGCCGACGACGCCGCCGGCGGGGCCCGAAAGGATGGCCTTGAGGCCCGTGAACTTGTCGACATCGACGAGCCCGCCGTCGCTCTGCATGAACTCGCAGCGGGCGCCCTTGGGACCCGCCTCCGTCTTGACGCTGTGCGTGCCGAGGCCGCCCTCGAAGCCATCTTGGAAGCCGTCAATGTACCTCCGGATGGCCGGGGTCAGGTAAGCATCAGCGCATACTGACGTGGCTCGCGGGACGAGCTTCACCATGGGCATGAGCTCGTGGCTGAGCGAGATGTGTTTGAAGCCGACCTCCCTCGCTATCCTGCCGACCTGCGCCTCGTGGTCTGGGAAGGTGTAGCCGTGCATGAGGCAGACGGCGACGCTGCGGATGCCCTGGTCGTAGACCTCCTTGAGCCTGCGCCGGATGTCGTCGTCGTCGGCGCGCTTGAGGACGCGGACCGTCTCGCCAGACATGCCGCGCACGAGGTCCTTCCCACCAGCCTCCTGGGTGCCGACCTGACCCTGCGCGGGCGTGACGGTCCGCTCCGGGTCCTCAGCGTAGTCCTCCAACGTGACACGCTCGTCAATCTCCACGACAGTCTCGTACAGCACGTCCGGTTTCCGGATAGCCAGGTCAAAGATCTTGGGGCGGGACTGGTTCCCGATGGCGAGGCAGTCGCGGAAGCCGCGGGTGACGACCATGGCGATCTTCTCGCCCTTGCGTTCGAGCAGGGCGTTTGTGGCGACGGTGGTGCCCATGCGGATGGAGTCGATGTGGGAGGTGTCGAGGGCCTCGCCGCGGGGGATGTCGCGGCCGAGGAAATGGCTCATGATGCGGCGGATGCCCTCGAGGGGCGCGTCGCGGTAGTTGGCCGGGTCCTCGGAGAGGAGCTTGATGATGATTTCCTCGCCGTTGTGCTCGCCCACGCAGTCGGTGAAGGTGCCGCCGCGGTCGATGGCGATGCGCACGCCGCGGCGCGCCGCCGACGATGGCGGGGTGGTTGACGACGAGGCCGTCATGGCGGGCGGGCGGGCTGTGGTTTGATGGGATGCGCTGTGCGCTGCGCTTTGTTGCCCGTTGCTCAGCTGAAACGTCTCGGTAGCAAGGCAAAGCGAGCAGGGCAGCGTCGTACGATGGAGGGGAAGAAGGAGAGAGAGGGCGAGGTGAGTGAAGGTGAAGTGGAATGCCGAGATGAAGAGGCCGCTTCCGGTCGAGGAGGTGAGCCGCTCCGGGGCTCTTTTATGAACTTGCACCCGACGGACGTCAGGCTCTCTCACCCTCGCTGTGAGTGAGCATTCAGTTCCGCACCTTAACTCAGGCCGCCGGCGGGGTGGCCTCCTCGCGCTGTGGACTGTCCGGGCTCTCACTGGACTCGCTAAAAGGAATGCGGTGCGAGGGGCACCACCACCACCAACCCCGCGGGGGGGTGTTGGGGGGGATACACAGCGCACCGCTGAGCAACCTAACCTCCAGGGCTGCCTACGGGCACCGACGGGCGCGCTGGGCGGGTAGGGCCCAGCAGCGGACCGGGCTTCCGCCTCCGACGGGGCACCGACGGAGAGCGTCCCCGAGGCCGAGTGCCCGCCCCACGCCGCCCCACCCGCGCGCCCGCCGCGCCCCGGCTGAAGAATTCGGGACGGCTGCACGACATATTCCCCAGGGTGGACGACGTGGTCGTCGTCGTCGTCGTCGTCGAATCTGCGTCTCGAGTTTGCCGGATGCGACATTGCATGTGTGCTCGCATAGCCCACCGTGTATTACACACCTTGCCTTCAGCTCCGTACATGGGCATGGCATGGCATGCCATTACATTACATTACATTACGATACAATACAGTAGGTACTGTAGCACGAAGCAGGGCCCCGGTTAGCAATTATATGATACCCCCCGTCTGTGTGTGCCGCGCATGATCCCCTCCCTTTCCACTTCCATGAACCGAAAGAAAAGAAGAAGACGCTCCAACGCCAAAACCCCTTCCCCCCTCCCCTATCGCTCTCCACGGAGCCGCACCTCCTCCACCACCACCACCACCCTCCCGAGGATGCTTCGTCATCAGTTCTTCAGCTTAAACAGCGTCCGCACCGCCGCGTGGTCCGACGTCCACTCGTTGTCCTGCTGGTTGGGCTCCGACTCGGGCCTGCCCACGACGACGGCGCGCGAGTCCACCGTCGTCAGGCCCTTGTGGTACACAAAGTCGATGCGGTCGTTGGGCTCGGGCCGGCCCTCGTTGTCGTTGAAGATGGGCGACCACGTCCAGCCCGGGTCGACGAGGGCGTCCGGGTGCGCCTCGCGGTACGAGTCGCGCAGCCCGGCGTTGGCGGGCGTCACCGACGAGGGCCACGGGAAGGCGCCCACGCCGCAGTGCAGGTAGCGCGTGCGCTCCGTCCAGTCGAGGTGCGACGGCGCGTTGAAGTCGCCCGTCAGCACGACGGGCACCTCGCCCGCGCGCTCCAGCTGCGGCTTCATGGCGTCCACGACCTCGGCGATCTGCCCCGTGCGCCCGGACTGCGCCTCGCGCTCCATCACCTCCTCCTTGGTCATGTTGTCGAAGCAGAAGTCGTAGGGCCCGTAGGGGTCGTACCCCAGGTGCACGTTCCACACGATGACCTCGCGCCCGCCGTCCAGCTGCACCCGCACCGACCCGCCCCGGCCCACGGGCTCGTACCGCTCCACGATGGGATACCGCGAGATGATGCCCACGTCGTCGCCCTGCCACCAGTCCCAGCCCAGCGCCTCGCCCAGCCGCTGCGCGTGCCCGCCCCACGTCTCCTGCAGGCCGACAATGTCCGCGTCCGACTCGCTGAGGAACCGCACCTGCTTGTTGTGGTAGTCGTTGACCTTGGTGCCCCCGAACCACAGGTTGTAGCTCATGACGCCGAACTTGGTGCTGCCGCCGTCGATGACGCCGCCGCCGCCAAGGCCTCCCCAGCCGCCCTTGGACCCCTTGCCTTCCGTGTTGCGTGTCGACGATGCCACCGGTACCGTCACGTCCATGCGCGCCGGCACCCCGTCGGAGCCCGTCGCCGACACCGTCAAGTTGCCCGTCTTGGACCCCGCCGACGGCACCCCCTTTAGCTTCCCGTCCGCCGACATCTTGACCCACTCAGCGCCGGGCGACGCCTTCTCAATGGCGTACTTGACCTTTTCATCGTCCTCCACGTTGCCCAGCAGGCCCTTGATCTTGGCCTCGAACGAGTCGCCCGGCCGCGCGATGCGTGTCTTGAACCTGTCGACGATGAAGCCCGGCCCATCTTTCCGGGAGACGAGGTCTGTGAAGACAGTTCAGTTAATAAGGTGAACTTGAGGGAGGCAAGTGCCTCGGGCGAGTGCAAACATACCTCTGTGGGACTCATCCTTGCCCGACAACCGCTCGGTCGACCCGACGGCCAGCGAGTTGCCCACGCAGCAGGCGACAACCAGCGCCCTCACTATCGACTTCATGATGGGCGCACGAGAAAGGTAACGGGAAGCTCGCTTGTGAATCGGACGAGACTCGGTGTCTGATCTTGACAGCCAAACGGGTCTGTGCAAGATGGACTGACCAGAGTGCCAAGAGAAAGGATAGCCCAGCGGCCCGGTTTTTCAGTCTTAATAGCAGTTTGCGCTGCTTCGGTATAGTCGATCAGGCAACGGTCGTGCATATCGTGTGCTCGGCTGGCCGGCCGAGAGTCGTGTTTACTGCGGTGGTCTGGAATGGGTGGAGGCCATCGAGTGCGGCCAGCTGCGCTGCACCTGCAAACGGCATCATCGATTTTGACTGCTTTCAATGCGTAAATTCCATCCTAACTGTTTTGTCGGTGCCGCTTCTCAGCAGTGCAGGCAAGCCACCGAGATGGAGCCCTCAACGCTGCTTCCCACCCGCCGTGGCCCAATAATGATCTTCAAAGCCATAATCGTACACGAAGACGCTGCTCCAAGATTCAGTGAACATACAGTGCCGGGCCATGTCCGAAAGCGTCAACATGCAAGATGTGGTTGGCCCGGCAGGATGTGCGATGGGACGAATGTCGCTGTCTCGGATGCTGGCAGCCTCGCCCACGCAGCACAGCGAGGACCGGAATGTCGGCTCACGGATGTCTCACCGCAGGTCTGGAAGCTCCGGGGGCCAGACTCACTGCACGCGACATCACGATTAAGCAAGGGCTGAATGGTTCTCCTGGGTTGTTCGGACATCAAGATTGAGCTGTAGACATTGGAGGTTTGAACCCCACGGCCGTTACTCCATCTCCGCGGCGTTCCAGGACAGAAAGTCGCATGTGGGAGATTCCACTTGAACTATTCTCATAGCTTTTTGTGGAACCGCAACTGGAAAAGAGATATTTATTGCGTGTCCTGTTACCAGCGTATTGCGTTGACCGTGGGATGGGTCGATGTTGAACTTGGTCAATGTGGTTGGGCGGTGGCGTCAAGATGCAGTCCTGAGTGCAGCCACAGGACGGGACAGGCCGCGGTGGATGGCCATCCGTCCAAAAATGACGACGAGGCAATTCTTCCGGGTCAAGTTTGTTCTGGCAATTGTCCCTTCGAGTTTGTTCGGGATATCACGTTCAAGCCTGCTCGTTCATCGAGATGCCAAGGCTTGGGGCTGGTGTCCGGGTGGCGGTGAAGGACCGGACGACCGTCTGGCAGCCAACGCACGGAAGGGACCCGTGGCGGATGCGGCGCAGCAAGGGTCAATTCTTGCAAACTGAAATCACTCGAGATGACGAGGACGCTGCGCCGATGAAGGCGGCCTCGGCGGGCATGGCAGGGCAGAGCTCAGTCAGACTTACACCATGTTGACACGCACGCACCGCTAGTCGCCCGCACTACTCACTCGCCGCATGCCGGCACTCAGCAAGCCCAACAGCAACCGGCATCGTGGCAAAGCCTGCCATAAATCATGCACGGTACTCACTCAGCGTCTCTCCGACGCGGCCCCTGACATCACGGCCACGTATCTCGTCGAGGCTCGTGCAGCCAAGGCGCCCACTCACTGACTCGGCCGCCAACCAACAAGCGAGGCGCTCACACAGCCCGGTTCTAGATATAGCATCAGCGATGGGCTTTGCCTCTGCGGGATGCTTGGTGCATGGTACCCGAGACGTCGGGCAAGGAGGGAAGAAAAGAAAAAGTCGAAGCAGGCAAGCAGGACGCAGGCAGGACCTGGGCCAAGGCACCCCATCCCTGCCCCTCGAATGCCCGTTTCAACCACGGTGCGAGCGCCGGCCAGCGAATGGCGCATCGCGGGCGCCGGTCACACCACCACGGCGCACCCCTTCAACCACCCCAGCCCCTTGGCCCAATGACCTCATTCCCACCTTGGCTGGCCCGGCTTCCCACTCGACGTCGCAGAACCGCTGTCAACCATGTCGACGAGGCAAGTCGGTGGGTGTGCGACAGAAACAAGTTTGCGCGTTGCCAGCGGGCGGTTCTTCGTCACACGCGTCATGTGGGCGCTGCTTCGGGCCGGGATGTGCGACTCCATCATGCAGCGGCTGCGTCGTGTTTAAAACGCCCTGCCCGCTCCCTGAGCTCGGTGAACGCGAACGAGCATCGCCATCGCAATCGCTGTGCCCCCCGTGCGCAAACCGTGCATCATCTTGTGTGGCATACAACGCCCAAAAACTCGTCCCCGATATCACTTACACCCCGGTAGCACCAGCCGTCGCAGGCACCCCAACAACACCACACCAATCAGTCAAGGACCGTCCAAGGCAAGCTCCCCAAGATGGCACTGGATCGCATCGTCAGCATGGTCCTCCGCGCGGCGGAGCTCGCCTTTGCGGCCATTGTGGCCGGCGTCACTGGCGAGTACCTGCACAAGTCCAACGCCTCGAGCTGGGACCTGGGCCGCTTCATCTACACCGAGGTGGTGGCGGCCCTGTCCATCTTCTTCGCGCTGATATGGCTGGTGCCCTTCTCGAGCACCTTTATCCACTGGCCCGTCGACCTGTTTATGAGCGTGCTGTGGTGGGCGTCTTTTGGCCTGCTCGTCGATGTAAGTCCTCGTTCGCTTCCACCTCCACCAGACTCGTTGCTTACCGGCATCCAGCTCGTCGGGTCGTCCTGCGGCGCCGTCTTCAACTGGGACAACGTCTCCCCGCGCGGCGACCAGTGCGGCAAGTTCAAGGCCGACATCGCCTTCGCCTTCCTGTCGGCGGTGCTGTGGCTCGTGTCGGCGCTCATCGGACTCTTCTGGGTGCGCCGCCGCGAGCGCGTGGCTGCCCGCGCCGACGCCTACCACCGCCACCACCGCTGGTACCGCCGCAGCCGTGTCTAAAGGGGGGAGCCACGGGAAGCGAGCTGGTGAAAGGCGACTTCGACATCGACTTCGGTTTCGATTTCGATTTCGACTTTGAAATTGTGTGTTTTGGCGGGGTAGTGGTGGGCGAGGGGGAGGGAAGAATGGAGGTGGCCAGAAATTGAGATGCCCGTTATGATTCAGGAACCGACTTGGACGGAAGCTACGACCCAACGACTGCTGTACCTGCTCGCGATATACCCGCTCTTTGTCTGCTAGACGCTGGCTGTACCACCGCGTTGTCTTTTCTTCAACTTCGTACTCTACTTCTACATGTTGTCGAGGACGAGGTGTCTGCTGGTAGCGCCTTAGTACTCAATCAGCCCTAATACCTTACCCATCTTGCATCTCCTCGCGTCTGCATGCATGCACTTCATTCATTGTCACTGCCCGATGGCGTCCGCGTTGTCTCGTTTGTGCAGACACGCGGCGCTGCCGCCAAAGAGTTCAGAGATCAGACCCGCATCGCCTGCCCCGCTTGAATCTTCATTCTTCACCTCGCCTCGGAAAGCCATGCCGGCTCGACGCTGCCGACGCACCACGACCCGCGACGATGGCGCCATAAAGGCAAGCGTCTCGGAACATTTTCGTCTCTCACACGATGCAAGCCCCCCCATGCTAGCTGTTCCAAGGCTCTGGCGTTGCCCAGACGGCCTGCCTTGGTTTGGGGTCCAGGCCCGAGCCCGAAGCAGCGGCATCGAGATCGTGGACTCGTGGAGCGGCTTCCAAGGCAGCGGGCTGTGTAGATCCCAGACCATGCCTCTGGGCGCGTCTCAGCTGACGCACGAAGCACATGGCCCAAACGGGACGACGATTGTCCCAGGACGAGCGATCGAGGCGTCTCACCAGCCACAGTCGCTGCCGATTGAGATGAGGGGTCATGATGCCATCAGGTGTGGCACCGGCGCCGCTCAGTGGCTCCAGGCGTCGCCACAGCCACAGCCCCGTTGTCGATCAAGCTGCCAGCGCAACGCCAGCCGAACCGCCAACGTTGCGTCATGCCCAGCGCTTTCCTGCTTCCATGCCAGACCTGGCTAGACCGTCGATTCCCCGGCCCCAAGCTTCAGCCTCCTACCGACCGGGTGATGGTGCTGCCGCCACCTCCACGGCATCGTTGCCGAGACGCGCAGCCGCCTCACCACGTCGAGTTGAGTCTTGACCGTTGGACGAAACACGACACGAAGCGCGATGGAACGCAAGCACGGCACGGCCACGGGGTCCATCGCCTCCGTCCAGTCGTTCCCCAGTCTTTCCCCCGCCAGCCCCCCCGTGTCGTGGCTCTCTCCACCGGGCCACCAGGCGCTTTACGTATTCCTCCAAGCTTTGTAGCGGAGCCAATTGTCCGAGCCTTGGACATGAGCTTGGTGAGCTTGTCTGGCTCCGTCAAACGTCACCCGGGCCCTGCTATGACGCTCCGGCGGCAGCAGCCTGTCCACCGCAGCCAATGGCCATGATGCAATCTGTGGAAAAGCTCTCCAGGCTGGAGCCGGCCCCAAGGGCCCAGAACCTTGCCGGTCCCTTATGACGATGCTTTGAGCGGCGAGCTCTGTCGGTTGCCTTGGCCACGTCCGATGCCCGTGGCCGCCGTCAGCACGCTGGCCGCTCTCCGATCGAGATTCGGAAAACTGCCGTCAAAGTCGAGTCGACGACGCGTGCCGTCTATATAAACCTAGATGCCGTTTGGACAATGTGATTGAGGATTTCATCTCCAGAACTACAATACCAACAAAGCCCATCTTGATACCCCTCACCCCCAAGTAAATCCTCACGATACCCCATACACACACATAAACACTACAGCTTCACAAACCGCCAATATGTCTTCCATCGTCAACAAGGTCAAGGAGGCTCTGCACCACGACAAGGACGAGTCCAAGCACACGACCGACAACAAGCACACCACGCACACCACCGAGCCCCGGACCGGCACCACCACCACCACCGGCGCGGGCATCGGCTCCCACGACGGCTCTTACACCACCGGTGACAACTACGGCCTCGGCGGCAACAACCGCGGCACCGACGGCCCTGCCACCAGGACTGATGGTCCCCACAGCAGCAACGTCGCCAACAAGGTAGACCCGCGCGTCGACTCTGACCGCGACCACAGCAAGAACCTCGGCGCCAACCCCCACGGCACCGCGACCACCGGCAGCCACTCCACGACGACCGGCACCACCACCGGTGCCACCTCTGGCTTCGGCGGCACGACGGGACACAGCACCACCACTGCCGGCCCTCACTCGTCCAACCTGGCCAACAAGACCGACCCCCGCGTCGACTCTGACCTCGACGGCAGCCGCAACCTGGGTGCCTCGTCTACCACGCACGGCACCAGCGGCCTGACCGGCACTACCGGCACCCACGGCACCGGCCACCACTCCGGCGGCTACGCTGCCGGCGCCGGCAACCCCCTCGGCACCGGCGCCGTTCCCGCTGCCCACCAGCAGGCCAGCCACGGCACCCACAACACCTCGGGCCTCGCGACCGGCACCGCCGCTGGCATCGGCGCCGGTGCCGCCGGCCACCACGCCACCTCGGGCACCCACACCCACGGCGGCACCACCATCGGTGACAACCGCGGCTTCGACGGCCCGGCCTCCAAGACCGACGGCCCGCACAGCAGCAACCTCGCCAACAAGATCGACCCCCGTGTCGACTCTGACCGCGACCACAGCAAGAACCTCGGTGCCAACCCCCACGGCACTGCCACCACCGGCAACACCACCTCTACCTCTACCACCCACGGTACCAGCGGCAGCGGTGCCTTCTTCTCCGGCAGCGACAACACTACCCACGGCGCCACTGGCACTCACAGCACCGTTGGCAACACTGGCCTCGGCAGCACTGGCACCCATGCCACCCACGGCTCGTCCGGTCTGACTGGCACTCATGGCACCTCCGGCCTGACTGGCACCCACAACACCACTGGTACCTCGGGTCTCACCGGTACCACTGGTACTCACAGCACCACCTCTGGTGCTCCCGAGGGTACCTTCGGCCCCCATGGCAGCCGCGTGGCCAACGCTGCCGACCCTCGCGTCGACTCTGACCGTGACAACCGCGGCAACATTGGCGGAACTGGTGTCCACCATTCTGGTGTTGCCGGCACCACTGGCACCCACGGCACCTCTGGCCTGACCGGCACTCACGGTACTACTGGCACCCACAACACTTCGGGCCTGACCGGCACTCACGGTACCACTGGCACTCACAACACCTCTGGCCTGACTGGTACTCACGGCACCACGGGCACCACCACCGGCGCCGCTGGCGGCCTCGCCGGCTCGACCCACCCCGGCCCGGCCCCCAACACTGCCGGTCCCCACAAGAGCGACATGCTGAACAAGGTCGACCCCCGCGTCGACTCCGACCGCGACGGCAGCAAGACCCTCGGCGGCGACAAGACGTATGCTCAGTCCTAAGTTTGTGCTCAGCAGACACCACCCCTGCACCACCCTCGTTCGACCCTTCCGTTGTCCGCGCGGCAAAGTCAAAGCACTGTTTCTGACCAGGGTTTTCCGTTTTTCGTCTTTGCAGGACTACCACCACCGGCTCTTCGATGGCACACAAGGATCCCACGGACGCCGCGCAGGTGCCCCCCTCGGTGTTGCAGAAGCACGTTGGCGGAGTGCAGGTGGCTCATGACGACCACACCCACGACCGCGAGAGGCGGCACAGCGTCTCGCACCAGGAGCAGCACCGCGGGCTGTAAGCTGGAGTTTTTATGATCTTGATAGTATGGGATGACGATTTTAAGTTAGCGTAATTAATGATTTTACATCAACTCTCATGATCGATGCCAAGTGAACTTTGGATGATTCCAAGTGATAAGCCTCTCCATCTATAGTGTCATGGTCAATTCATCAACTTCGTCTACGATTTGGTAATGGCCAGTTTCATCGCATGGTAAAACCGATTACTTTCGCACGTGACTGAACAACTTTCGTTTCACCCATCTTCTCGTCGCATAAGTGCAATGCCACACAGAGAGCGCGGAGAAGTCCTAGCTCACTGAGTGTTGTGCGCCCGAGCTTTGAGCTGGGTCCTCATCGCCAACCCATCATCTTGGGCCACCCGCGATTCAAGACATGTAAAGCGCATGCCGCGTCAGCTAACGTAGTAAAAATTCCATCAGATAAATCTCTTTACCCAATCGTTCGCCTCTTCCGCCTTGTCGTCGTAGTCAACACAGCCTTGTTTCCCTCCTGCAACGTCGTCAAAGACCGCGAGCAGAGAGCAGAGAGCACCGCCCCCGCAAGCTTCTCCATCGCAGCAATGAGATACGTCACCGCCGCCCTTCACATCGCCTCCTCGCTATGCGTCGTCCTCCTGCGCGGCGCCTCGGCTAGGGACGCGCCGCCGCCGCCGCCGCCGCCGCCGCGCCAACAGCACAGCGATGTGTACGGGGCCGACGAGCGGTACTACGGTGTAAGTAAAGAGTCAAGTCCTGAACCGCAGCGACGCTCTCACGCTCTCCTGCATCAAAGATGCGCAGAGATTCGACTTTTGTGCTAACCACGCGCACGCGCACGCGCACAAAAAGACCTGCAACGAGTGGACGCAAGAGTGCAGGTACAACATCATTCAGGAGGAGTTTGGCGAGTGCTACGTCACGGCGAGATGTCCTCCTGAGTTCAAGGTGAGAAATTGAAACTGAAAAACCAGAGAAGCTTTTTCTTTCATGGATTTTTTTTTTGGTCACTGTGAAGCGCGTGTGGTAAAGACGCAGAGGTTTGCTAATTTGCGTCAATGTGCAGTGTGCCCGTTGGGCGCTGTGCTCTTATAGAGTCCAAGACAGCACCGTTCACTGCATGTAGGAGGAGACTGGGATTGAGCTCTGAGCTTGGGGGTTTACGAAATGTGTGCCGATATCGTTTCGCGCTGTGAGGGAAAGGATGCGATTGACTTGAAAGGATGGGGGTGAAGTAAAGGCTCGCATCAAACTGTATGGATAGTTTTGGGGTGCCCTTACGTTTGAGTATGGTATTCAATCTGGCGTTCATCACCGTTTCCTGTTCTTACATGACACAATGAGATGCTGTATCCATTTAATGGATTATGGCAGGGCAGGGGTTGCACGTCTGGCGACTGTGGGCTTCGGCGACTAGGTTTACATGACGTCTAGACAATAGCAAGCCGCTGGAAAATGGAGACCGCCTTTTTGGACAAAGAAAAAGAAGACATGATCCAGTGTTGCACCAGTGTTGCAAGAATGCCATGCATGTAGTCTCGGCGTCATACTTGAACGCCGCATGGGAGTCGATGATGCATGTATAGATGAATTGGGGTGGTGTTGCGGGAGCCAAAGTGCATGAACCTAGCCAACACTCTCCCGCTGCGTGCCACATGTCATCCGTCAACCACTGTAACACAAACCCCGCCAACAAGCGCCAGCTCACCCTGCACTTTGAGTCAGGCACCCGCCTCACCACCTCGGACTCTACGACACCACACCGGACGCCTTCTCACCACCAGGCATCAGCGCTCACTCACTCCCTCTCGTCGGCCTCCTCCTCCTCATCGCCATGCGCCGCGCGCCGCCGCCGCCGTAATGTCGTCCCCCGCCACCGCCCCCATCGCGCAGACCCTCTGGGACGCGCGCGTCCCGCTGCACATCACGCACGAGTCCGCCCCGACGACGCCCTTCATCGCCGCCGTCCCGCGCTTCAGCTACCTCGCGCTCCTGCTGCCGCGCCTGTCGGCCTTCTTCGGCGCCCCCTGCTCCAGCTTCCACTTCGAGGACGTCCAGCTGCGCAACCTCGCCGCCGGCCTGCTCGTCGACCTGTACCGCCCGGCGCTGCCCTGGCGCCTGACCGTCGCCGACGGCGTGGGCTGGGACATTGCCGACACGTTTCTCAACTGCGTCAAGGAGGTGAGGGCTTCCCACCCCGGCTCTTTCTTCTCCCAACCGCTGCCGGGAGGAGGGGGTGGTGGTGGTGGTTCTGGGCGCTCAGGATGGGAAGGAGTACACTGACTGACATGTGCTGGCAGGCCGACTTCATCCGCAATGGCAACGCCAACCAGATCATGAAGATGTCCAAGGAGCACACCACTCAGCTCTGGAACGCCGTCATCGACAACGATTTTGCCTCCTTCAGCAAGGTCAACGCGCGGCTGCTCAACGCCCCCACCGCGCTCAAGAACGTGCCCCTGCGTATCTACATCCCCTCCGCCAAGCCCTCGACAGCAGCAGCCGAGGCCGCTCAGAGCGGCGGCCCAGACGCAGGACAGGTCGCCGAGGCGGGTTCCTTCAGGGTCCTCCAGGCGCTCGTCCCCGCGGCCGGACCGGATCGCAAGCCCCGGCTGCTAGGTCAGGCGCTGAAGGAGGCCATGCCCCGGCTGTTTCCCAGCAGCCGCGACCCGGTGCTCGCGGGTGTACTTTTGCATGGGGCGCCGGTGCCGTTCGAGGCTCCTCTGGGGGAGTTGATGCGGGAGGCGGCGTATCCTGACGGCTGGCTTTGCCTGGTCGTCGTGGTTTGAAGATGCGGACTCTGGCTTTATTGAGATTAGCGAGGCATAGCACGGCGGCGTTTTGGTCCATATTTAGATCTAGATTTGTTCCTGTTTGCTATGATTTCCAAGACCGAGTCTAAATATGGCTCGTTCACACGACATGGACTCATGTAAATGTTATCTGCCTTCCCATCAGACTCCTGTATGCATCGTCGACGGCCTTTCTCTTCTTGCGCCTCACTTCCTCATCCTCGTCGAGCTCTTCCGTCTCATCTATGTCGTCCGACCCGGGGATCTGCGGCATCCACGCGCGGATCTGCCCGTCAAGGTGAGCACTGTATATGCCGCCCACTGCGTTGCTTCCGCCCATCACCGGGCCGACCTGCCTGCCTCCTCCGCCGGCACCGCGCCAGACGATAGTCGTGATGCGATTCCTCCCCATCTCACCCCCGCGCGGCCCTACTGGATTCGACGCTCCGGGGCTGCGCAGCCGCGTCACAAGACTTCCTTCGTGTAGGTCAAGCACGAGAATCTCCTGGTCGTTCGCCCAAAACAGCAGTTCGCGGCCATCAGCCAGCCCCGAGGGCGTCACGACAATGCTCGCGGTTTTGGCGTGCTGGTTTTGGACGAGCGACCCGAAGCTGGCCAGCGTGTTAGCCCCCGTCGCGGCGTCCCATACCCGTATGCGCCTGTCGAGCCCAGCCGACACAATGTAGCGCCCGTCGTCGGTCCACTGCAGCCCGTTAACCGCCTCGTCGTGCGCCTGCGCTGCCGCGCGAAAGTGCGGCACGCGGCTCCAGTCGGCGCCCGCGGCGACGGCGTGGCGGAAGCGGTGCACCACGCCCAGCGAGTCCTCCTGGTCGAGCTGCGCGACGACGCCGCCCGCACGCCGCGTGTCCCAGATGCGCACCTTGCCGTCGGCGTGGCCGCTCGCAAGAATATGCTCCCGACGCGGGCTCCACGCCGCGCAGAGGACCGGCCCGCCGTGCGCGACGAGGGCCTGCACGGCCGACCCGGACTTGAGGTCCACGAGACGCACGTTGGAGTGCTGCGTCGCGCACGCGACCAAGAGGTGGTCGGCCACGGGGCTTGTCGCGTGCGAGTAGATGGTGGCGTTGAGGTCGAACTCAGCCGACAGCGCGCCGCGCTGCGTGGACCAGAGCTTCAGCCTCTTGTCGTACGAGCTCGACAGGAAGGCATCCGGATCGAAGGGATAGAAGTCGAGGTGCGTCACTCCGTGGCTGTGGCCGCCGCCCTTCTGGTCCCTCGCCGAGCGCGCAATCGTGGCCACGGGACGGTACGTGTGCTGCTTGTGCGGGTTCCCGCTCTCCTCGAGGTCCCATATCTTGATGGCCCCCTCGGCACCGCCAGACACGAGCAGGCGCCCATCGAACTTGTCGAGCGCGAGGCTGCTGACTCCGGCGCCATGGGCGCGTATGCTGTGCGGCCGGTCGCCTACGTCGGACGCGTCGTCGCGTCGGAGGACCTCGCCATTGAAGCGATGCTGCGGTGCGGGCGCAAACGATCGCGCCAGGTCGGAGGCGACGGTGCGCGCAAACTCGTGTGGGGCGAGTTCACCCGTCTCGCGGGTGAGGAAGCGAGCCTGCATTCATCTGGTCTTGCAGGGCATACAAGGTTCGTTTTCGTCTCGTCCGTCGATGCGGTCACCTGGGCGACTTGCGATGTCGTCGTTGAGTTCACGCGACATGATGTCACCGCAAAGTGGACCTTTTGGGCTGCAGGGTAGGCCGGAATGGAAATGGCGGACCGCAAAACAAGAGAAGGGGCACAGTGCAGGCAGATCCACAGCCAAAAGCTCTCACGCCTCAACCCTCTTTCCTCACCTCATCCATGATCTTGCCAACCAACACTTGCATTTCAATGGCCACGCGACCTCGCTCAGATGCGAATCATTGACGACTTCAGCCCTCACAGGGAACCCTACGATTCGATTCATCATCGTACCGAGAAACGATGAAGCACGACATACTCTCCGGGGAAAGACAAGTGACAGCCCCAGGCCTTCCTAGCTCCTGACATCCTCATCCTGGACACGTGCAAAGCCGTTTCGCATCTTGCTCGTATCTCCGAACGCGTCATGGATCTCTCAGACGAGCAAACACAGCTGTCGGAGCCTCAGAGCCCCAGGGTGCCCGACCTATCCGAGACGGATCCGAATCCCGAGGGCCGTCCCCGGCGGCGGCGGCTCGCTACCGTGTACGATGCCGTGGCAGGTAAGACGAGTCACTTTGTGAGAGAGGCGCGCCCGCTCCCACCACGTGTGGCTAACTCATCACAGGCCAGGTTTCTGTCCGGCAAGTCTTGCAAGACGATGGGGAGAGGCACGCGAACCAACAGCAGGCGGGGATCGCGGCGAGCCAGCAGCCAACGGCGCCGACGACGTTAGCCGCCAACAGCATCAGACATCCAACCCGGCGCGTCCCAATCGGGCCTGAAGAGGTGCTCTTCCGGCGGAGGGACGCGCCGCAGCGCTACGCCGAGTACGACGTGTATGCCGCCCACGAGAGGGACCTGCCTCGCGGCGGCCGCGGTGTTCTTCCCGAGAGCGACCTGCTCAAGGCCATCCACACGTATACCAGCAGGTACTACGGGGCCGTGGAGCGCAACCGTGCCCGTCGCCAGCGTGGACAGGCGCCGCAACCTGGCATGCCGCGCCATGGCGTGGACGAGCGCAGCATGGACGAGACGGCCCTGTTGGCCTTTGGAATTCTACTCGAGGAAGCTGGGCGTGCGGTACTTGGCCAACGCGGCGACTTAGTCTTCACCGAGGGCGAGGGCGTCGATGTGCCGGACCAGCAGCGCGCCGGAACGCCTTCCGCAAGCGGAGATGAGGTGGCGGCCCCAGATGATCGAGCCACCGGCGCTGGTGTCGGTGCCAGCGGCTGGACTCGGGGCATCGCTGCGCCCGCGCCGACCCCGTCTGTTGGATATCAGGAGGTCGGATCTTGGAAGAGGCCCAACAGAGGTTCCAAGAGGCGAAAGGTGTCCAACCAGGAGCCGCCTGACAACGACGACAACGACACGCACAGAGAATATCTCGACAGCGGCGGCGGCGAGAACCAGGGGTACGCCGCGCCAAGGACGCGCGCGCAGGCTGGGCCGGGCGGATTCTCGGCCAGCGCTTGAGACAAATGGAGGACAACGGTTTTCCCCCGTCCCTGTGTCTCTACGAGATTGCCGCGTGATGGGGTCCGCAGCACGGTGTGCTCTTCAAGGGCCTCGAGAATGTCTCCGACAGGGTCCCAGAGCTCTGACCACACAGCGGCCCCGTACCCTCGGGTGGCCACGAGGGCGCGACGACACAAGGGCCTCGAACGAGGCAAACACGGGCGGTTCGTGAGGTGTGAGTGGGCAACTCTTTTTTGGGGACTCTTCTCGTCAGGGCACCAGTCAGGGAATGGTCGAATGGCTTTATAACGCCGCGCGACTCTTCAGACTAACGAGCCCTCCAACGGGTTTCCTATCCAACGGTTCTCCTGCCAGTTCTCGGCCAGACGGTGTGTGGACTCGAACGAAAGGAGAACCCAGCGCGCATCTCACGAGTTCTCCCACTGCATGGCTCCGTTCCTGGTTCCTCTTCCCACTCTTCGAATGCCTGGAACGGGCAACGTTTCCCAGCATCTCGGATCGCTGTCTCAGACCCTGCGTTGATCCCAACTATGACCCCGGACCGCGCCCTGGACGAGAAACTCCATCCTCAAAGGATGTCCCGGACGTCCCCTACCAGGCCGGATGCCTGTTGGGCCGCGTTCAGGGGGCTGACAAAAGGGAAAGGAGGGGCGTGAGCGTGGGGGTTTGGAGAGTTAAGCATGTTCCAGAAGCACAGTCTCGACGACGACCAACGGCTATGAAGTTGGATGTCGCCCGCGCCGCGCGCAAGTCGTCGACACGCGACAACCCTCCGGGACACAGGGCCATTCTTCACCCCAACGGCATGGCTCCCTGGCGGAGTTCGTTAAAGGGGGAACCACTCAACGGCCTCGTCGAGCTTGGGCCGTCTGCACTCGGACCTCAACAGACCTCAACAACGCATGCCAGCCGTCTCAGATAGGCTACACAACGAAGGACCCATTCTAGAAGACGTTCCGCAAGCAGGCCCTTCAATCTTGGCCATCGTCCTCGCCAAGCCCTGGGGGGGCCTGTTTTCTGTCGCGTGCACGTCGGTGGACGAAAGGGGCTATCCGTGTCCCGTTGCCGATGGGCCCGAGGCCCATGCAGCAGCGCATCACAGTTTGGCCCGTTACAAGAGCGATCCAACGGATGGAACGGGGGGACCCAGCACCAACACGAGATGCCAACTCGTCTGGACGTGCGGACGTGAGAGCAAACGCATCCTGCCTACCCTACACCGCGTCGTGAAATCCGAGCGCGTCCCTGCCGCGCGAGAGCCTTGCGGTTGTCGCATCCCGCTCGGGGCCTGAGCTCCCAACGGCGAAAAGAGCCCGGGCGTCACACGTCAAAACACGCCCCCAGCGGGGACGCCCTCCCGTCCACAGCATGCATGCACCCGCAGCCCGCATATCAGCCTGTGCCTGCACCATGCAGCCACGCAGCGTCCGCCCCCCGTGCACTCGTTGCTCTGGGCGCGCCTCTCATGCAGTAGGACAAAGGGTGCAGCATTTCAGACCGGAGAACCTGGCGGAGCATGGCGCGGGCAGAAAAAACGAAGGCACACACATACAGGGGAAAAAACAAGAAGACGAACCGAAATAGAGCAGAGCAGGCAAACCGGAGGAATACGTGTTCCAATGATACTGTAGCAAGCAAGGACGAGGACTGTAACTAATGCCAGGAAGCGCCGTCGAGAAGCAAATTCCCCGGATTGCATTTCCCAAAGTAGACGGCGTGCACCCCGCGCTACGTTTGTAACTAGCTGTTCGTTGACGCCGTTCGTGCCGTAGGCACTCCGTACCTATGTTAGTTCGTGGACGCTTCCTCCCGTCCTCCATCGCCATCCCGCCACCGCCATTGTCATTGCCCGGCGCGGCGCGGAAGTCCCTCGATCCCCTCAATGTCGTCGCGCGCCCCCGTCGAGATCTCATTCTAGACTCTCTCCGCGCCTCTCCGTCTCCCCAACGCCACACACGCCCCCCGCCGATGCGGCCCCGACCGCGGGGGGCCGGCCTAGCCCTTGTCCACGCCGCTGCCGCCGCCTCTCGGGATCTGTGTGTATATATTTTTTTTTCCGCCGGCGGCGTGAGAGAAGAAGATACGGGGTGGCGGCGCAGGCGGTGGAGGAAGGAGGCAACAAGAGTGGGCGCGCGAGAGATCAGAGCCACCCCGTCGCGATCCCGCGGGCGGGCCCGTTTCGCGCGATGAAGAAAGGGGCAAGAATAGAGACGCACGAGGCAGGATAGGTAAGAGGAGGAAGAGCAACCGCGATGCACACGGAAAAGGGCATCAAAGACGATGATGACGGGGGAGGGGGGACAACAAAAAAGCTGATCGATTGCCGGGCGATCTGACAGCGGCGCAGATCGGGCCGCCTTGACAGGCTGCCTCGCAGCTCAGCGCTCCAGCCCCGTTGACCGGGATCCTGGGACGTGTCATCTGTATGTACTGTGCCTGCTAGGTATGTATGCGCAAGCCTCGAAAAGTCGGGTTCGGGTCGGGGGCAGAGAAGGAGGCAAGATGCACACTGCTTCCTCTCCTCTCTCTTCCTCTTCCCCCGCGCGCCCAAAAGAAGACGCGGGCGGATGGTGGCTGAATGCACAAGCGCTCGCGCTCTCATCAGGGATGCGAGGCGGCCGAACGCGTCGGCCATTGGGTTGCCTCTGGGCCGGCCGTGACGAAGCCATGTTGCGATGCTGCTCCTTCGTTCTCACCGTCCCCCCGGGGGGTTGAACGTGCTGCTGCATCTTCCTACGAAAGAACCTTGCCTTTGTGCGACGGCCATTCTTGACATTGGCTTGCCAGGGTAGCCTGCCGGATAACTGGCTTCCCTATGGTTGCGCATCGCATCCTTGTCGTTCCCCCAACGCCCAGCCGTCCTTGTTCGCACAAATGACCAACAACTGGTAGCTTGTAACCAGGCACACACGCGCCTTGGGGGACCAGACGTCGTTGAGCGTCGCCCCAGACGAAACCCTTCCCCCGTCACCCTGCAGCGGCGACGCACCCGCCCGGCACCAACACGTGCGACGAGGGGGGAGGAGAGTCGCCACGCGACTGACCGCTTGGTCAACCGCGGCGAGGCGTCGACTCGGTGTGACGGCGGCTCACCCATGCTGGGTAGGTATCTGATTCGGCCCGTGAGACATCAGATACTGAGACCATGGGCGATTTCGAGAATGCCATCACTGAGAAGCTCCGAAACGACAATCTGACAGTTCCGTGCCGTACCGCCCTGTGCTTCACCTGTCCGCTGCAGTCCCCAAGAAGCGACAACTTCGTGCTGGCTACATGCCCCATCGTGTGCAGCTGCGTGGCAGCTTCCTTTTGCTTCTTGTCAGCTGGCAAGAGTGCGGACATGCTGTAAAGTGCAGCTGCTAGTCAGTGGCCGCAGGGCATAACACGACCGGAGCCCACCTGAATGTCCGCGACCATGGCTTTTTTGGCCTGAAGCCCGGATGTCGGCGAGGCTATCGTGTCCGGCTGCAGTGTCACCGGCCGTGGTGCAGAGAAGTGAGAGGCAAGCGGGACGAGGCCAGCGCGTTGGTGCAAGCCTTGTCCCTCGTTGCTGCAGATTCTGCGCTCTGACTCGATGGGTGGCAGGGTGAGCGTTGAGAGAGGTCATCGTCGTGCCTCCATTCCACCCGAAGCTTATGTCGTGGCCGCGTGAGCCCCATCAGGTTGAATACTCGCCTGCAGTACTTTGTAGCCCTCCTGAAACCCACGGCGGCCGATTCCTGTTAATGCCTCATGTAAGTGCTCATTGTCACGATGCAACAGTCAGCCCCTCGAGCTGGGCCGGCGCGAACTCACTTGGACAACTTGTCATGGGCTCCGTTGAGCTGAGAGCACGCCCACGACGTCGCATCGAGAGCGTCCATGGACACTCTCTGCCCCGCTGTTATGCAATCCTGCGACAGACGTCGTCCGATACCTTGCTGACCCGAGCGTGCGACTCTCCCGATGCGCTTTGCTGTTGCCCAGACTCAGGTTGAACGGTCGGCGTTGCAACGATAAGGTATTATCGCGTTGGCCATGTCGGGCGGTGGTGCTCGCATTGCCCACTCCTCCCACTCCTGCAATCCGGAGCCATCAGTCACGAGTCATCGGTTGCAGTCGTGACCTTCGCAAAACCGTCCTGATTCAGAGTCTGCATCCACTCGATATGGGCACTTCTGCGCACCCACCCGCGAGCCGTACGGAGCACCAAGGTAGCACCGTCGTATTTTCCTTCTGGCCAACGCGACAGAATTTGACATGTCATTCCGTGTGTCTTCTTGGCGGAGGCTCCGCCCAGGACTTGGATTCGCGATTGACTTTCTGTTCGTCGTGCTTGAGCCTGCAAAAGAAAGCACCCGTGGGGGAAAAAGCAACGTTGGGGTCTAGCCGCCGCTTGCTTTTGCCAGACGCAACCCATCGTTGCGAAGAACCGCTGGCGCCACCTCAAATGCATGTGCGACGGGCGTCTGTCTCGTATCATCCTCGATTGTCGGGGCGTGGACCACTTTCTGCGTTAGCAGGGCTGCCTTGATGCTTTTCGTGACGGTTCTGCAGGCAGGGGCAGCTCCGTCTTCGTGGGCCGGCCGCATTGGGCTTTCAGCCTCGACCCGTCCGTCTACTGAGCCTCCCGATTGATGTTGGCCCTCGTCTGCGTTGGCTCTGGCAGTGGTCCCTGAGGGGCCGTCGCCATCGGGCGGCGGTGCGGCTATTACTCTGTTTGTACATCGGTTTGAGCCAACGCCGATGATGCAGTTCTGGTCGCCCGGCCTGGACGCAAGGGTATCATGGCCACATGCCTCAATTCCGAGACATGTTGCGCTTCCCCAGAACATTACTCCGTATGCTGGGGGAGAAAAGCAAGTCCAGCCCCGCCAGAGCTGGGCCACAGCGCGTCGCCGTTCAGGCGTGGGTCTTTCTGTCGTCAGCATTCGAAGACCGTAGGCGGTGTTGCGCATGCAGAAAGGTCAGTCAGTCACCCCCTGGTTGTTGATCAGGTCCATTGGACCATGAAGCCC